ATCTCAAATTTCCATCACGATCCATCACAATTTAAATAGAAAATTGATATTCTTTTGATAGAATTCACTTTTTCTTTCAATTTTATATTTTATGGTTATTTTTTTCGAACTTAATATTAATAATCTTTTTATAACCCTCAATGTAAGAGCGGCAAGATTTTTTTTGAGGTTATGTTACAATGGCACTTAAATCCCCATTGAAATTAATGCAGTTTCTTTATAAATGAGGAGTCAGAATGGAGACATGAGAGAGTTTTGGATCTTAATAGCAGTTTAATTGATCTGTTCGTACACAATGGGAAAGAATTTATTAATTAAATATTGATTTGATTTATGACTAACGTGCGGTGGGTTTTATGGTGCTAGGAAATTATTTGAATTTCAAATTCACTTTTTGTAGGTTTTGAACTCACAATTAGTTATTAAGTGAAATATTGAATAGCTTTCCAACTATGACTCATTACAAAATTGACAAATTTTTGACAAGTGACTAGATTTTTGACAATACTATGTTTCACTAAATTGTGTCTAGTAGCAAAGCGTGTGGTGGTCTGAGCACCAACAAAATCCAAAATAAGACTTAACTGCTATAAAAAAAATCCACAAAGCTTTCAAAATTCGCAATTTCAATCGTCGCTTTAATTGATTTTGCCTTGATGATGATATCGCCATTCCTACGTGATCCACTAAACCAAAATTAAATGCCAATTTTGCAAAATATTCAAAATAAACAAATGATTTAAATTTCATCTATCACCTTCAAACTTATTTGTTTTGGAACTGACAACAGTCGTCATTAATAATTCTAAGTTATTAACTTTTCAACAGCACAAAAAATAATTTAAATGCAGGTTCTGCAAAATTAAATCAATTTTTTAAATAAATTAACAAACCTTCATCTTTGATAGACTTCTTTTTAATTTCATAGCTGTCCATCAATAAGCCATAAAACTAAGGAGCACACTTCCAAATTTTTCAAAAATAAAAAAAATTAAACTTCTAAGTCAGTCCTTCAAAATTAATGATCACATATTGGCCATAAATTTTTTTGTGCGTCACGAGTTAAAGAACACGATTTACAATAAAAGAAGCATCAACTTGAAAATTCTTTGTCTGTTTTTTATTCATAAAGTTAGTTTTCATTTACGATTGTTTTCGCATAAAGAAGACGAGAACAAAAACAAAGAAAATATAGCAAAAAGTTCAATGGAAATGAAATAAAGATGATAATAAAAGTTGAGGAATAGTGAATGATATGTGATTAGATGAAAGATAAGAGCGCATTTTTCAAGCAATTAAGTCAATAAAATAATTATTTTAAAAACTTATGGATTTGAAAATTTCAATTTTTAACGGATTTTTAAAATTCAAATTTTCACCAATTTTTCAAAATTTAAACTTTCAACGGTTTTTAAAATTTCAAAAAATTTCAACATAAAAAATCACTTTTCAAATTTATTGAAAATCTCATAAAACCTTATTGTGTCCTGAGTCAGAGTGGGGAGATTTTTTTGCAATTTAAATCAAAATCTCAGAGTTTATTTTTGATTTTGATTTAAATCTCAATGAAAAATGATTTTAAAAAGGGGTTTTGATTTAAATCATTTTACCCAAGTGATTTTTTTCTCGATTTTGATTTAAATCTTTTTACCCAAGTGATTTTTTTCTCGATTTTGATTTAAATCATTTTTGCAAAGAGATTTTTTTAGGATTTTGATTTAAATCTTTTGTATGAAAGATTTTTTTGGGGATTTTAAAATCCCTCCATATAAAATTTTTGTATGCAATTTTTCAAATTATTTTTCAAATCAACAGTTTTCAGTTGCAGTTCTTCATAAGTAGGAATGCAGTTGATCCTTTTTCGGCCAGAATCTTGCAACTGGATCTTTTAGATCCAATCATTTCCTTAATAAAGTGATTTTAAAATCCCAAAAAAAATCTTTCATACAAGAGATTTAAATCAAAATCCCAAAAAAAAAAATCACTTTGCAAAAATGATTTAAATCAAAATCCCTTTTTAAAATCATTGCAAAAAGATTTTGATTTAGATTTTGATTTAAATCGCCCATCTCTCACCAATCCGGGAAAAAAAATATTTCAAGGGAAAAACTCTCGAGATTCGCAATTTCAAATCATTATTATTTTAATTGTTTCCACATACTGGCTTTGATTTTGTCCATCTCGATCAATTAATCGACTTGTTTTCTTCTCCATTCCAATTGCATTCACACATGCAGGCGCGCTATAATCAATAAGCAATACAACTTCCTTCTTCTTCATCCAATTCTTAAGTGATTTATGGTTTTTAAACTCTCCATAAATGCAGATCGCGCGCTTCTCACTCATTGAGGCGAGCGAGCGAAAAAAAAACTGCAAAGATGATCAGCAATATTTATAAAATAAATTCACATTCATTCATGTGTATGAATGTTTACTAACTTATTAATGGCGGAAATCGCGGAAATAGCAAGCAGTTAAATATATGAATATGAAAGAAGAAATTGAAAGAAAATAACCAAGTATCAATAATTGAATCGATTTTCTCTGTGTGTGGATAAATAAAGGCAGCATGAGTCGTTGGGTCTCAGGCAGGGTTGGTGGATTAGGGTGATTTATGGAACATTTTTGACGAAATTAAGTTTTGAAAATTTTATTTTTTTATATCAAAGGTTTTAAAATTTCAAAAAATCAAAAATTTAACATTTCAAAAAATCAAATATTTTAAAATTTTAAAATCAAAAATTTCAAAAAATCAAAAATTTAAAATTGGAATAAAATCAAAATTTTAACTTTTTAAAAAATCAAAAATTTTAAAATTGTAGAAAGCAAAAAATCAAAAACTTTAAAAATTTAAAAACTTAAAAATGTTAAAATTTTCAAAAAATTTTAAAATTTCAAAAAAATCAAAAATTTTAAAATTTAAAAACAACAAAAATTACAAAAATTAAAAAAATTTCAAAAATTAAAAATCCACCCTGCAAAAAAAACTTTTTATTATAAACACAAAGTATTAGGAAATAAGCAAGCGTAAGAAGAATATAATCACCATCATCTAAATAGCATCGTTTCTTTTAAATAGCGCACGAGAAGTAATAATTTAATTTTCATATAAATGTTGTGAATAGATGAGCATTTTTTCCTCATCATCTATTAATAACATACAATTTAGTAAAGATATTTAATAATCATTAAAAAGACTGATTTATTCTGAGAATGAAAAAAATAAGCAGCAACAACAAAACTCGAGAAAGAGAAGTTGTTTGAAATTGAAACTCAATGCCATTCAAGGTTTTTTTTTCGCTACAATAAATAAAATAGAAACAAGTAAAAACTGTTTCATTTGTAGCTGCTGTGGCTAGTCGGCTTACTATTATTATTATTACACTATACTTTACTTCACATTATACTTATTATGCACATATTTTGCGTACTTTTTTTATGATCTAGCCTCATAAGCAATTCATCACATTATTGCAAACTAAAATAAATAAAAAAATTGAAATTGATTTTATTTCCATAATGCCATTTCATTTTATGAATTTTCCGTCTATTAACTAAGGAGTGTAAACATGTGAGCACGCATTAAGTAAGCATTAAAAGAAATCGTAAATGACCCTTCTCAACACATTCGCTAAGCGAGACGATAAAGTTTAATGATTGCATAAAAGTATGTTCGCACCTCATTGAAACAGAAACAAAACTCACGCTTTCATTTCTTGCTACTTCTTCTTTTCGTCAATCGTGTTGCATGCTGCATAGAACTTTCAAGTCTAAAATTAGAAAATGAAAATTATTCTCAAAGCCTTCGCACTACAAATTGTGCATTTTGCCAAACTTACATCATCTCAATAACATCCCATATTGTCTAGTGGTTAGGATATCTGGCTTTCACCCAGAAGGCCCGGGTTCAATTCCCGGTATGGGAAATCTTTTTTGCATTTTTTTACTTTTTTTTTTCATGAATGAAAAGAAAATTATTTTTTTCCCAAATTTTTCATACCAGATAACATAAAACATAAGCCAGATGTGTGAAATGCCTACACTTAATTTTCCTATAGATTATAATCAACATATAAACATTCGAACTACATAATATCAATTTTGAATTTATAAACTAGCTCCCAATATAAATTTGTATATATGAAGAATATTAATGATTTAAGCCACCCACATTCAATTATCATACGAAAAATAAAGTCGAAGATGATGTGAGGCATGTAATGATAAAGATATGGCGAGATGAGAGTAAGAAATAAATGGAACAACGCGTGTGCGTGTTTCTGATGATAAATTTATTAACATTTTATCGATATCTTTGTATGACACTTCTAGCGCATCTGAGTGTCAATAAATTGAGATGCATAAAATATATTTTTATTGCTGATGCAACAGGGTGTGTCGAGTAAATTGTTGTTTTATAGACAATTTTTCATTTTTCTCCATTACGAGTGTATTAATAGGAGATTAGATTTGATACCAAAAATTGTCAGATTTGCTTGATCTCTTGTTGGTGATTCATTGAGTTTGTTGAATGGGAAATTCATACAATGTTGCAAAAGTAGTGCAGCAACGACTTGACATTTGCTGTTTACTTTAGTTATGAATAATGTTGCACTTCAAGGGATAATTGCTTGTTTTGAGATATCGATAGTAAGTTCCTTGACATGGAATTCAATCAAGAATTCTTAATTATCAAATTGTCTTTCTCACTTTCAAGTTTCTCATCATTAATTCTAATAAATCTAACAAGTTGAAGGTTTGAATCTCAAAAATTCTGAGTTAATAAATTGATCATTAACTCTCAAAAATCAAAACTTTAAAATATCGATCATTATTCATCGAAACCACAATACAGTCACTAGTACAATAGTTTATAAATGCATCTGATATATTCAACACATGTATCGATCGAAATTCGATGATTAAATTCCAATTTGACATATATTTATGAATGTTGATCACCCAAATACTAAATTAGACATTTTCTTATATATTTCTAGGAAGTTCAACTGATTTGACATCCCCAGTGATTGGATATTATGACAGATTATCTGGAAGTTTCAACACAGACAAATTAATAGGTGAAGTGTGCAATAGAAATTCACCAGAAAGGACTTTAGAGGACATTGCAAATAATAATCACAGTAATTTTCGTGAACAATCGCCAAAGCCAAAATTAATTGTTTCAAAAATTCCAACCAAGCCTTTAAATCAATCAATTAGTAAATCAACAAATTCATTGTCAAAATTTCATGTAAATTCATCAATTCCATCAGCAAAGACACTGCAAATATTATCACCAAATGTACATCGAATGATATCATCGCATCAAACAACGACAGAGACAATTACGGCAATTCCCACAGTGAAGTCATATTCAAATAAGAATGGAAGTAATTTGCTAGTGAGTAATAAGCGTTTAAGTGATAAAACGAGCATAAATTTGCCTCCAGCCCGACGAATATTCCTTAAAACAAATAAACCAACGGGAATTGCGATACCGTTGTCCAAGAACTTGTCAAAAATATCACAATCAATTGAATCGATAGCGGAACCGATTGTCCATACAATCACAGACAATAAATGCAAAAATGATGAAATTTATAAGTCATGTGAATTAATTAATGACAGTGAAAAGACACCAACAAATTGTGATCATAATTTTAATTATGATAATAGTAACATATTAGCTAATGACTATGGTGATGATGATGATGACGATATACAAAATGTTTTAAATAAGACATCGGAACTAATAAATAATTTGTTAAGTGGCAATAATGATAGTCATTGCAAGTCATTAGATATTCATGAAAATCATATTGAAAATAATAATAATAAAAATATTAATATAATTAATAACATTAGTGATAAACTATCGTGCATAAATAATGAAGTTAACAGCAATAATAACAATAAAGTTGAAGAAATTAAGATGAAAAATTCAAAAAATAATAATTATAATAAATATCAGCAGCAAGTAAACTCCGATACGGACGATGATGATGGAGTTGCACGTGATGCTATTAATAAAATCAATACGAATTTAAAATTCACAAAATCACTCGATAATGTCACAGAGATTGACACTAAACATCCCACATCCTCACCAAAACTTACTTATTCCCGTGCGAAGCTTCTCTCACATCAACAGCAACAGCAAAGTCAAGATCAATTGACACCAACACATTCACCGAAATTAAATGAGAAGCTTCAGACGTTAGAACCTGGAAATGAAAATAAAGTCAATCAAACATCGCCATCTACCAAACACCGTCCCTTGTCTGCTGCGTCCATTAGCAGTTCATCCTCTTCGACTAGTACTGCCTCGTCGTCAAATTCGTACGGAAATGAGCACATTTCAGGTGGTGGTAAACTTGTTGGTGGAATAACTTATTTGGCCAGTATTGAAAGTCTTGCTGATCATAGCGAAAATGAAATTCATCCTAGTCTAACGATGTGTGAACGTGCTGCATTAGAAATTATTGATTCTGAAAAGAGCTATGTCGAGGATATTGGACAGATCATCAAAGGGTAAGCCATCAATCTTTTTCTATCTTAAGAAAAAATTTACAATAATTATCCCATCCATAGATACCTTCAAGATTGGAAAGAACGAGCATGTCTAAAAGTAGACGAACTCGACATTTTATTCAGCAACATACAAGAAATTTATGAATTTAATTCTAGTCTATTAGAAAAATTAATCGAGTCAAAAATTGATCCTCACAAAATATCGAAATGTTTTATAGAGGCGCATGAACGATTTGATGTGTACACAACTTATTGGTAAGTCAATAAAATTAATAAATCATCATAGTATATGTTTCATGTATGTAGTCTGCCACAACTTCACATATCTCAATAACATCCCATATTGTCTAGTGGTTAGGATATCTGGCTTTCACCCAGAAGGCCCGGGTTCAATTCCCGGTATGGGAAATCTTTTTTGCTTCTTTTTTTGAGGTAAAATAATTTCTCATATTAAACTGAAAATGAAACTCTACTTTTGGAACTAAAGTTTCATTTTCCAAAAATAAATAATTTTTAAATGAAATGGAATTGGAACATTTGTTCAACTATAGCATTTGGCCAAAACGCACACATCGTGTTCCATTAAGCGATTGGCTTGATGGATAGAACACATTGCGGCGCCGTGGCTTAGTTGGTTAAAGCGCCTGTCTAGTAAACAGGAGATCATGGGTTCGAATCCCGTCGGAGCCTTTTTTGTTCCTTTTTTTAATTTTTTGCTTTTTCCAAAAATATTCAATTAATTTAAATATATTTTTATACTTTTTTACAGCACAAGTTATCCCGATGCGATATCTCTTCTTACGACATTGTTACAAGCATCTCACACGAACTCATTGTTAACATCCACGCAAAAAATGTTGAAGCATACACTACCTTTGGGTTCTTATTTATTGAAACCTGTTCAAAGGATTTTAAAATATCATTTATTATTAGATGTGAGTAATTAGCTGTCAAGTATTAATCATGCAAATCAATCAATACCAAAATAATTTTTTTTTTGCAGAACCTTAAGAAACACTGTGATCTACCAGAAGTCAAAGAAGCTCACGAGATGATGAAAGATGTAGCAAGAAATATTGACCAAGTCAAAAGGAAGTTGGAGCAAAAAAATCGAGTTAAGGAATTGTCAGGAATTCTTGATGGATGGCTGGGACCAGATTTGACTGTCTTAGGTGAATTACGACAAGAGGGTCTACTCATGGAACACAATAAGCCACGTATTGTGTTTTTATTTGAAACGATGCTTATAATTACAAAGCCAAAGGAGGATAAGCGATTGCAGTTTAAAACTTATATTCCTGTAAGTAAATGCTATAAAAAAAGTTCAAAAAAATTACATACTTCACAAGAGCAATATTCTATAACAATTTTTTAAAAATTATTTTACAGTGCAAAACATTAATGTTAGTTGAACATCTTCCTGGTGATCCGACCAGTTTCCATGTTCTTCCATTTTCCGACCCACGTAGCCAAATTAAACTGACTGCCAAAAATCGTGATCAAAAGCGCTTATGGGCACAGCAGATAAAGCAAGCAATGTTGGAGCACTTTGACATACCGAATCGAGCCAAAGAACTAGTTTTTAAGTTGGGCGATGAAGAAGGTAATTTAAGTGACTTCAATCAATAGTTTTTGACTAATCACAAACTTCAACCTATCATTACAGATCGTCCAAGCGACAAGCAAACCTGGAAATGGTCAAATTCATCGCCAACACCAGAATATCTAGAAAGAAGACATCAATATCGTCGTAGTGAGGTTCGATATCGCTCAAAGAAAGTCAAGAACAAGATGGTGAAGACAGCATCATTAGAGCGAGGACGTATTAAGGAAAGACGGGAATCATTTATTTCATATTCACGTGATGAGTTATTTGATAAAGATCACTTGAAGACATGCAATCATCAAGATAATTGCAATTGCGAAGTTGTCAAGAAAGAATTATCAGAAACATTGAAAAATAAAGGAAGAAGCAAGTCAGAGACGAGAAATCCTGAACTAGAATCAGTGGAAATTATTGAACAAAAGCCACCAGCTGCACCGTTATCACCGCTGGAAATTAAAATGTATAATGCAAAAACTCTTCCGAAAAGAATCGAGAAGATTAAAAAGTCTCGTGAGAAGAAGGAAACTGCAAAGTTCTATACAGACCTTGACATTGACGACAGTTCACAGCCACACGATCAACAAAATGATGAGACTGTACTTAAAATTGTTGAACCAATTGAGGATCACAGTGTCAAGAAGTCAAGTTCTATAGAAAAAGTTGAAGAATCAGCACCAGATTCTCCAAAAAAGAAAGATTCAGACATCATTAAATCAATTCTTGTATCAGAACTCGCTAATCGTCGACTTCAAAAGTCTGGAATGAGCAGAAGAACGTCATTAGAGAAAATTGAACAAAGTTCACCTTTATCAAGTCGGAAACTTGCAGAAGCACTAGCTGCAATAAAAATAGACAGCAGTTCACCAAAATTGAACGACAGTCAAGAATTTAAGTCAAAACAGAGTTCACCAGTTGAAGAACCGCTGTATGAAGAACTGCTTAGAAATGTCCATGTTCCTTATAAGTTTGCACCTCCATTGTTAAGAAGATCTCAGTCAGTCTCATCAGCTTCATCGGTCAAGGAGAATTTAATGATTGAATGTAAAAGTCATCAATCCTCATCTGTAGCTATTGACAATGACGATAATGATGGTTCGGAATGTGATTATGTCACTTTAAAGTATAATAATGATGATCAGCTTGAGACAGTCGATGGAGTTTATGTCAATAAAGAAGTAAGTGACAAAAGTAATTCAGATCAGTCAATTGATGATATTAAAGATAATAAGTCACTGACAAAGTCTGAAAAGTCATTAGCAAAGTCTGAAATAAGTCTTGGCAGAATAGAACATTTGCCAAAACAGAAGAGCTTCTTACAGAAATTCATGCCTTCAAAGAGTCACGATGAAGATGCAACCTCACAAAGATCAATGTCAATAAGCAGTCGAAAGAGCTTGGATAATGGATTAAACCTAAGCTGGAAGAACATGCTTAATAAGTCATCCAACTCTGATATATCCACTAATTTCTCAACTCCTCCGATTTATCGTCAAGGAAGTGAAGATTTGGGTAATCGAATAGCTAATGTCGACTATGCAGATCCAAGGACTCTATTCTCATCATCAAGCAATATATTAATTAATAAAGGTTCCTTAAATCAGAGAGACTCTGTCGTATCCTCATCATCTGATAGCATCATTGATCCTCAAAAGTTACTACAAATGCAACAAAGTTATGATCCCTTTTCGGATTCGTATTATGAAGATACAGCTGAGAGTCTCCTTGAAAATGATTTTAGAGACTCTGCAATCTACAGTGATGACTCTAATGAGAAGAGGTCTGAATCTACTCTGAGTCCTGATAGTGATCATATCTATGCAACAGTCAATAAGACTCCAACGAAACCAGCAATTCCACCGAAAGTTCTCAAGAAGCCAAGCCTTTTAGCTTTAAAAGCAAACTTTGCATCATCGCCATCCCTTCTACATCCACCAGTTCCAGCAAGACCTTTAAACCTTAAATCACCAGAAGTCCGTAATGCAATCTTTACTGTCCGTAAAATAAATCAAAAATCTGCTTTGCCATTGCCCACATCGAGTCAGCCTGAGACATCAACACCAAATAAGAGCTGGGTGAGACAGCAGGCTGAAAAATATCAAGGAAGTTCTTAAATTGTTTTGTTAATTTCTCTGCCATAAATAAATTAATCGCAAATAAAGTTAATAATTTTATTATTTTTTTGAAAATTAGAAAAAGAAAATTGAACTTTTTTATTTAATAAATTGTTTTTGAGTTATAAAATCTTTTAGTCAATTACAGCATTCACATAAATTTCCGATCATTACTAGGCGAGTCTTGATATTTCTTTCTTAAATTCTTATTTAATACGTTCGGACGATCCCCTCTGCAATTTGGGCAGTACCTGGAATGAGATATTGGATTGTAGATATTGATTCTTTGATGAAGTTTAGGATTCGACTCTTCAACTAGCCAAGTCTAACTCAGAAGATCAGAGAAACTACCACTAGATTAGAAACTATGAACTTACCATCGTCCCTTTGGCTTCGATGACAATCCAACACAGCTGAAATGAAACCATTCGATCTTACATGCATCATTCTCACACAGAATCATCTCTCCATAGGAAATTTGTCCTGAAAATATCACATAATTCAGTTATTAAGGGTCAGAAATCAATTTCAGTCCATAACATACCACACAAACAATAAGTCTCTTCATCTGGATCAATTGCTTCGTCCTGAAGTGTTGCAACTTGTTGCTCAACAACTTGACTTGTCTGTGAATTATTAGCCTGCTTAGCAGTAGTCTTCTTTTTCTTCTTCTTGTTTGAAGCATTACTAGCTGTTGATGAACTCTTCTTGACAGCCACTGCTGGCGTTGAATTAGTGGAACTTGTTGCTTTGGTCTGAAAATCAATATTGTAGAGTTTTGTGGACATTTAGGAATTCAAATCTATTTACTGGAGTTGGCTCAACTTTCACAGGAGGCTCAGGTTGCTCAATAACATCAAGTATAGTGTCAGTTCTCGTACGTCTTGAACGTTTAACAGCTTTTTCAGTTCCATTATTGACAGTAATATTCAAAGACTCTGATAAACTATTATTCGTACTACTACTCATATTTGAGCCAGATGTAGATGGATTCTTAATAAGAGGTAAGTTCGACAATACTTGCTGAACAATTGAAGCATTTTTGGCAGTGGATGATGCTGAAGATACTGGACTTTGTGGTCTTTCTTGTTTTGATAAAATATTTGTCTGAAAGTCACGTTCAACAGCACGAAACTTAGTCTCAATTAATTCTGACAATGCTTGATTGTAACGAATTTTCTCATCATTAAGATCTTGTAATTTTATTAGGATTTGCTGTAGACGACTGTAATGTTTACTTTTAGCCTCTCCTGTAGTTGTAAGAATTTTTTCTGACAGTTCTTCTGTCTCATTTACGATATCTTGAATGAAAAATTAAGATAAAGTTGGAATTTTCTGGTTTTTGACTAGTTTTATGTAACTTACTGCTAGTTTTAACGTCTAATTCACGAACCACAGACAGTATACGGACAATGTCATCTGAAATACAAGAATTTTTTTTTCAACAAAGCTCTGATTGTTATCCAATCATACTTTTACCTGGAAGTTCCTCAATATAATCTAAGTAGTTCCTCAAGAACACTCCAGAGTTGTTTGCTTCACTAGCGGGAATTTGATTGAGCATTTTTGCAATAACTTGGATTAATTATTTGAAAACAAAACTATCAATGCACTTTCGGCTACTTAAAACTATTGCATTCACTGAATATTCAGTTGGTTTAGTTGAGTCTGTTATTCTTTACTAGTATTATTTAAATCATGAGATTTGTGTAAATAACTTAAACTTTCTTTAATAAACTAAAAAATTAAAGTTATATTGTGTATTTGATTTCACTGGAGACATTTGATGTCGATTTGGAGAGTTTCCGATCTGCCACCTGCGTTTGAATTTTAGAAACTTTTATATCTTGCATGGCTGTTATTTTGTTTTGAAAGTCTTAACCATCATTCTTTGATTATTCCCTCAACCTCAATCACTTGTTGCATGCAAAAAATAAACACAATAATTTTTCCACACGAAATCTTCAAATAAAAAGTATTCAGTTCCACATTCTAAGCATTTCGAATTTATTCATGACTATAGATTCTATTTTTAGATCCTACTGCATGCACAAAATGACTGTAAGTTTATAAAGTATTTTTTTCAAAACTTATATCATCAAATAAACATCCCATATTGTCTAGTGGTTAGGATATCTGGCTTTCACCCAGAAGGCCCGGGTTCAATTCCCGGTATGGGAAATCTTTTTTGGTCTTTTTGAAAATAATCTATTATCAGTTCATGCATCTTATCAGAAGGTTTTCTAGTACAGTAGATGCTCAAAAATGTATGAAGTGATTTTTTTTGAACCGCATTGTTTTGAAATTTCAGTTACAAATTCTGGCAAAGTTTTCAGCAAAATTAGATTATATTAAATTAATAGAATCATGTCTCCAGCTAATTATCATCACTGTTTAAATAGTGAATCATCTACAGCAACTTGAATGTGCAGTCACAACACATATGTATGAACTTATAAACAGGGTGGGTGATTTAAATCAAAATCTTTTTGCAATGATTTTAAAAAGGGATTTTGATTTAAATCATTTTACCCAAGTGATTTTTTTCTCGATTTTGATTTAAATCATTTTTGCAAAGAGATTTTTTTTGGGGGATTTTGATTTAAATCTCTTGTATGAAAGATTTTTTTTTGGGATTTTAAAATCACTTTATTAAAGAAATGATTGGATCTAAAAGATCCAGTTGCAAGATTCTGGCCAAAAAAGGATCAACTGCATTCCTACTTATGAGGAACTGCAACTGAAAACTGTTGATTTGAAAAATAATTTGAGAAATTGCATACAAAAATTTTAAATGAAGGGATTTTAAATCCCAAAAAAAAAATCTTTCATGCAAGAGATTTAAATCGAAATCCCCAAAAAAAATCTCTTTGCAAAAATGATTTAAATCAAAATCGAGAAAAAAATCACTTGGGTAAAATGATTTAAATCAAAATCGAGAAAAAAATAACTTGGGTAAAAAAATTTAAATCAAAATCGAGAAAAAAATCACTTGGGTAAAATGATTTAAATCAAAATCGAGAAAAAAATAACTTGGGTAAAAAGATTTAAATCAAAATCGAGAAAAAAATCACTTGGGTAAAATGATTTAAATCAAAATCCCTTTTTAAAATCATTTTTCATTGAGATTTAAATCAAAAAGGGGCCGTTCACTAATTACGTTCGCATTTATTAAGAAGTATGCAGAGTTTGAAAATAAAATGAAAATTGCTCTATTTTGAAAATAAATCAAAATGAAAATTATGAAAATTGCCAATTTTGATCAAAGCAATTTTGCAATTTTGTCAATTTCAGAAAATTGCAATTTTGGAAATTGTTTATTTTCCAAAATTGCAATTTTCGAAATTATCAATTTTTATTTTTGTGACGTCATAAATATTTGATGAATAATTTTGTATGAAAATTTTCTTCTTTTTAAATGAATTTTTTACTAAAAACGAATATCAACATCCAGGAAATAAACTGTATCTTTTGTTTTTCTCAAGAAAAAATTCATTTAAAAAGAAGAAAATTTTCATACAAAATTATTCATCAAATATTTATGACGTCACAAAAATAAAAATAAACAATTTCCAAAATTGCAATTTTCTGAAATTGACAAAATTGCAAAATTGCTTTGATCAAAATTGACAATTTTCATAATTTTCATTTTGATTTATTTTCAAAATAGAGCAATTTTCATTTTATTTTCAAACTCTGGAAGTATGTAACGTTTTAACTGTCGTCATAAATATAAAATTATGAACGTTCAGGGGGGAGGGGGGGGGTTGTGAGTTGTAACATATTGTAACAAGGGGGAGGGTGAAAAAGTTTTTTTGCGTAACATAATAAGTGAAAGGGCGCAAATAAATTCTGCGATTTTGAGTTAAATCGCAAAAAATCTTTCCATCCTGCTTATAAATTTATAAAATTTAAAACTTTCTGAAATTAGTCACTTTTTAAAACTAAAGTATGAAATAAACATCCCATATTGTCTAGTGGTTAGGATATCTGGCTTTCACCCAGAAGGCCCGGGTTCAATTCCCGGTATGGGAAATCTTTTTTGATAATTTTTATAAATTTTAATAAATTTAAAAAGTTAAATATTAGACTGTAAGTTCAAAAAAAATAACTGATATTTTCAAGAATGCGATAAAAGTCTCTAGGTACGCAACCCTAGGTCCTTTTTAACTTAACTTAATCAACAACTACTTTAATTTCAATTTATAAACTAGTTTTGGTAGTTCTCCGAAATCAATTTGAAAATATTTTAAGATAAACAAAATTCAAAAACTCTAAAATTTGTCAAAAAATATTCCCATACCGGGAATTGAACCCGGGCCTTCTGGGTGAAAGCCAGATATCCTAACCACTAGACAATATGGGATGATTATTTCATACTTTAGATTTAAAAACAAGCTACTTTTAAAATGACTATAGTTTTTAATTTTACTCGAAAAATGGTAAAGTTATTGAATTAAATTTTTAAAACTCTAAATCTTTTAAACTTTATTTTTAAACCTTATCAGACTTTAAATTTTAAAGAATCATCAGCTTTAGAACTTTGACTGTAACAAATCACATTGAAGATAAGGAACCGGAATTGATAGCAAAATAAAAACTTTGATTAGAGAACCAAAAAAGATTTCCCATACCGGGAATTGAACCCGGGCCTTCTGGGTGAAAGCCAGATATCCTAACCACTAGACAATATGGGATGAATATTTCATATTTTAATATTGAAATTCAATATGTTTTAAAAAGAGTTTAATTTTTTCAAAATTTAAATATATTGAGTTTCCTTAAACAAAACAAAATTCTTATTTGGTTGTATTTAAATTTCGAAAATAAAATCAAAAGTATTAAGTTATCAATAGTAATGATTTGGAGTAACCTAGAATTGAGTTGATAACAACCGAAGGTCGACAAAACAAAAATTTTCAATTTTATCAAAAAAGATTTCCCATACCGGGAATTGAACCCGGGCCTTCTGGGTGAAAGCCAGATATCCTAACCACTAGACAATATGGGATGATTATTTCATGTTTTAAGTTTCGGAGCGAGTTCCTTTATAAACATTTAATGCGATTAAGAAAACATAAAATAAAACTTTTAACTATATAAAATGAATAAGTCATAATAATACCTAGTTTTTTAAGGGGTTATTCGTTGTCATGTTCATATTTTTTTTGGGGGGAGGGGGGGTGAGAATTGATTTCAACAAAATTTAAAAAAGAACAAAAAAGATTTCCCATACCGGGAATTGAACCCGGGCCTTCTGGGTGAAAGCCAGATATCCTAACCACTAGACAATATGGGATGTTATTGAGATGTTTGATGATTAGCGTAAGTGCACATTTGAACAGAATGAACATATACAATGTTAAAAAATAAAACATAAATTCAGTTTCACTTTCAAAACTGTTTCAAAAATAAAAATTAAGGAATGAAATTTATTTAATTTTAATTTCTAATGCACTTTATTAAGTAGCAAAATAATAAATAGCAAAAAGGCTCCGACGGGATTCGAACCCATGATCTCCTGTTTACTAGACAGGCGCTTTGCCAACTAAGCCACGGCGCCGCTTTGTTATTGACGAACTTTAGTGTTCCTCAACCGACGAAGTTATGAAGTTTTCGACAAAAATTTCATTCCATTCTAGCGAGGAAAAAATAAAAAAAAATTGTTTAAAAAAAAGTTTGTGTTTAATTATCAACAGGCACTTAAAAATATCATTATTGATAAGCTGATAAGAATTTAATCAAAAAGATGGAGTAAAATATAAATCTTTATAATTTTTAAAAAAATTTCTGCAAAAAAAATAAATCACAATATTTATGCCGTGTTCCTGCTGAGGATCGAACTCAGGACCTTTCGCGTGTAAAGCGAACGTCATAACCGCTAGACTACAAGAACCGAACACGAGTTGAGCGCCACCTTGCCAAAAGGCTTGTTTAAGTTTCATGTGATTGGATTATAAATCTGTGCATAATATTTTCATGCGTAAAGAGTGAAAGTAGATTTGATTCAAAATGCATGCATAAAATTAAGAATTTTATTCAATTTTTTTCTTCGGATAATGTTCAATTTTTTAAGCATTTCAATTCTCTCTCCAAATAATATTCTTAACAAAAACCTAAACCTAACAATAAGGCATAATAAATCGTCTCACGTTAATGAATAAAGACAAGATGTGAATGAAAAATAAAGACGGTAAAGAATATCGAAGAATAAGTTGAATAATTGTCCTTCATTTATTCATATTCGTTAGCAACAGCCGTAAAATTTAAATCGCATTCATCCCCAACACAAATAATTTCGTCAACTTCTGTAATTGGTGGCAAATAATCCTTCGATGGAGGTAAGTAATGGTTGTTTAATGGCGGCAAATATCCAACATTCTCATCTTTTGGCAATTCGAGTTGTTTTCCTGCTGGCTTAATATAAACATATCCAGTATTGGCTATGTGTGCTATATCGCATGACACAGCAACGATGAGCATTAATCCAATGATTGTTAATTTCTGATTTTAATAAAGGAAATAAATAAATCAAAACCTTCTTTTTTATGACTTAATTACCATGATTCTCAAATATAGAAGATTGAACAGAAATTGTCAGTAATGATCACAAAAGACGCACTTGAAGAGCTGATCACTGAATGATGCAATTGCCATTTATTGCACGATGATTTATATTCAGTGAAATTTATTTCAGAATGATTTATTTAATATTATGTCAATAAAAACTGCCTTGATAAATCCATCTCGTGTGAAAACAAAATAAAATATCAAAATTCATCAATGGGGTTGGTTCAAAATGACGTCTATTAAAACATTTGCTATTGAGACCTCCATCTTCAAATCCGTCCGACGTCCAAAATTAACGGTTATTTTTTCAAAAAAGAGCAATTTCCTGGAATTGTTCTTTTCTTGCTGACCCCCCCCCCCCCCCCCTTGAACGTCATCGAATAACACCTACCCCGTAACTTTCAAATCATGAGACGTCATTTATGATCAACTCCCGCAAGAAAAAGAAGCTTCTATTGATCTTTCATTAAGATTTTTTGTCTTTATGTCTTCTGCCGTAAAAAATGACTTTTTCTCTTAAAACAATTTTTTGCTGCTTCTTTTAAATACCAAATGTGAATGTCCAGATCAATTTAATTCACGTGCATGACGTAAGTGCAAGAAGAATAGACACTGTGTGCACAATAACAATTTACGTGACTTTTTTGGATGTTTATCATTCCTTATTTTATCTGTGCCTATAAAAGTACGCATTTAGAAAAACTAGATCAACATTTCGTCATCTTCTTTTTCTTCTTCTTCTTCTAGTTTCGGCTTCAAGGATGCAAAGAACATTTTCTACCTGCTGTCATTTAAAATTTGGTATCTATGCGTAAATAAATTTGTTTATTGACAATTTTTTCAGAGATGATCGAAAAATGGATTAGCTAATGATAAATGTTGCTTGATCTGTAAAGTGATTAGTCTTGCAATATTTATAGAAATTAGCATTTCTTATCTGGTTTAGGAGACTCTTACTTATCATGGCTTATTAATAAAATAGTAAAAAGGTAACGAAAGCAAAAAGGCTCCGACGGGATTCGAACCCATGATCTCCTGTTTACTAGACAGGCGCTTTGCCAACTAAGCCACGGCGCCTTCATATTGCTGAAGTTATGTATTGTACCTCAACATACGAAGTTGAAGCGAGTTTGACAGAAATTTTATTTCATTCATTTGAACATGAAATAATTTATTAAAACAAGAAAAAGCTGAATAAATATTTATAGACTCTATAGTAGTTGATAACTTAACAAAATTGTTGATAAGGTGATTAAAAAAATAATAAGAAAATTGATGTACAGCTGTAAGGGGACAATAGCTCAACAAAAAAGTTGAAATTACTAAAACCAGGTAAAATCAAAAAAAAGGAAAAAACTTAAATATAAGTTTTACCAAAATAATAATAAGACTTTCGGTGTATTTGAATACCGGAATTTTATAAAAATATCTTCTTATAGTGTTCCTGCTGAGGATCGAACTCAGGACCTTTCGCGTGTAAAGCGAACGTCATAACCGCTAGACTACAGGAACGGAACACAACTTGGAAGCATTTTGGAAAGAGAGCTTATTTAAGCTTTTAGCGAATGTAATAAAAAATCTGTGCATAAAAGATAAAATGTATATGTTGATGGTAAAATTAAGTGAAGTGTATGAATTAAATTTTCAACCTTTTAATTAACTTAATCTGCCAAAAAATATTTATTAATTTTGAATATGGCGATTGAAAATTGACGGGTGAAGTTTGACTAGATTTGGCATAATTAGGGGGTCAATCACTTGATATGTAACATCAAAAACTAATTTTTTATTCCAGTCTTAAAATTTTTGTAAAACTTTTTACTAATCACAACACAGTTGTAGAGCAAGAGGGGTTATAAGAAGGTTTAGATACCCCTTTTAATAACCTTGGTGGAACCTAGTTGTAGGAATACTATCAATTATAAATATTACGTCAATACATTCCAGACAGGCATCTTATTGTCTTCATATTATTTAATAAAATAGCTTCGAACACTTTCAATCCAAAATAATGTTATTAATTAATTTGCGTGATTCTTCAGCAACTTTGTCTTAAGTCCTTTCAAAACAAATGCTTTAATCGTGTATAATTTTTTAAGCAAAACTTGCAGCATCTTAAGATTGACACCATTTATGGCATCTTGTTAATCTTGTTAATATGCTTTGTTGTCTGTTTAACTATAAATTTTGCGAGCATTGGCATGTATGAACATCAAACAGCTTAACAGATCATAAACAGTTTTTTTTTTGCAATAAATCTTATTTCTCCAAATTTGAACAAATGTCTAAATCAATTGATCTTTATTGAATCCAAAATCCTGTATGACGTAAATCTATTTACTTTTTATAGATTTCAATTCCTATAATTAAAACTTCATTAAGTTTAATGCTCAACATATTAGAATTCAAACTATTTCCTACAAATCATAGATGGATTGATACACATTACGTATTGACATGTCGATATATCTTAGAATTTGAGACTACCTCATAAAATAACATTTACGATGCCTCATAAAAAGAATTTTAACAACGGCTACAAAAAGTCAATAAAAATGCGCTTAAGCCACCTAATTTTAATTTATTGAGATTTTTATTTGGTGGGTATCAGGGGGATATTCAAGTAGGTTTTTCCAGCACAAGTTTTAGTCAGCCACCACTCAACTCGTCTCACCTCTGTCTAAAATTACTGAGCTGAGCATCACTTTAGGATGATTCAATCCAATTAATAAATTTATTTTGTGTTATATCATTCAATATTTCACTCGTAGCCAGTTCTGGATAATTTTTATAATATTTTTTATTCATCATGATGTCTACCGTGTTTTGTGGTAAATTGCTTCCTTTTCTAGAGATTCTCTTCAGGTTCTCTTTCTTTTGTGCATGAGAAATATGAATATTTTTATTTCGGACAACAAAAAGCATATACAGCTTGTCTTACTTAAGTATCATCACTATTTAATCGTTAAAAATTGGCCCGTAATTATGTGAATGGCTCATAATCAATTCATCTTTAAAAGAAAAACAAGAATGTATAGAAGCATCTTTTTATCTTTGGATGTATTGTTCTGGAATGGCTGGTTTGTGTATTTTTGATTTTTGGGGAATGAGAGTATATAGAATAATTTTTCGGGATGTTTAGGTCAGGTTTAGGAATAAAAACTTTCAATATGCTAATTAGTCTCGAGACTCCTTATATACATCGATGACTTTCATACGAGTTATTACCATTGATCGAGCGATATAAAAGACAAGAGCTAATTAATTACAGGATGAAAATTCTGGTTCTTAAATGAAATCAATATTGTGAATCCCAATTCAATTCCTGATTGTGCATATTTCTTGAGAAAAGTCACCGGACTTTGGAATTTTGTTAAGTGATCTAATTTCCATTGAACAAACCTGGATGATAAGTTGTTATAAATATGACTTTATGCTGGATCGATTTTTAAAAAAAATCATCAATACGATTCACAAAGTCTACGGTTCTTTATAAAGCTTAAAAGTTGGATACTAAAATTTTCCATAACTTTAAAGATTCAACAAAGCTTCAATCAATCAAATAAAGTCACAAACTCAAAATCGTCTAAGTTCAGTATCCTTTTAATCCCTTCACAAAAGCAGCTTCTAAATCAAAAAGAAAATATAAATGCGCCATTAATCAACAACAAATATAAAATTTTACACAACCTTTTATTAAAGAATCTTTCACACACGTGTTTCATTTGGGCAACAAGACTGTAAAAATGAAGAATTTAATTTTTTTGAACTTTCGATTTTATCGCTTCAGATGTTGTATTTGAGACATAAATTGCCTATTAGAATCAAAAACAATATAGGAGTTGTCCATGTAGTACGTAAATTATATTTTTTATAGACTTCTTGTCTCCATAGGAATGGATGTGTAAAATCACACGTTTCTTAAAATGTCAATGCCATATGATGAATTAATTTTGTACTTATTAGACTCTAATCATAAACAAAATCACACACTCCTACATAAATGAGAAGCTACTCATTAAAAAAAATCAAATAATTAGCTCCTTACATAATTTATGAATGAATAGATACTGAACCACACAAAAGTCTTAAGATATCTTGTATCTGTAATTTAGAAATATCTGAAATAACATTGATCTTTCAGTCATGCAGATATTATGTCAATATTCCTGTAGTCTGTAAGCTGTTCTATATTTTATTGAGCTGGTATGAATTTCTGAAAGCTGTTTTAGGTTGTAAAATATAAGATTTCAATTTAAAATTCTGATAAGAATTCGTTAACAAAATTTATGAATATTAAAAATCAAGAATCAAGAATCAGGAATTTTTAATTTGTTTATATTTTGGTTAATCTTAGAATTTTGACCTTAAAACATTTGATTTTCAAATCAAATCAGCTGCTTAATTATAAGTTTTAAGAATCAATGGAAGTTTTTTAGTTTTGCTGAAGCTGCATTAGGTTGCGGGTTGGTTGAAGCAGTTGCAACGATTTTTGAAGTGGAATTATCAAATTTATCTTTATTTGGATGGAGTCTTGTCATATCAAACGATCACGTGCTTTGCCATATTAAATGCAATTTTACAGAAACTGATATTGAGTAATGTTTTGAGATGGAACAAGCAATAAAAAGTTAAGAATATTAAATTCATCGATATGCAATTCACACAGAGTCTTTTGGTTTATCTAAGGAGACGCTGTAAATCTGGGTTGATATTACATCAGCAACTCTCCAAGATTCAAGATCTTCATCAATTCTTATTAAAGTCGTTAAAATGGGGTTTAGGACCTGATTCTTCCATACAAAAGTACAAAACTACAAATAAAACCTCATTTATGAACGTCCCTATCCCAAATTCCCGGAAATTAAAACTTCACAAATAAGATCTCTTCATAATCACAAAAATCAATGACCAAATGTGACATCTTAATTTGTTACGAATAAAACAAGAAACAAAAAGAAAGGAAGCGAGACTGAAGCATGGCAAACACCTCAAGATGTCCACATTTAAAGCGATTATGTAAGCATACTTGAAATTGAATTATCAGTTAATGGGGTAAGAAATAATAAGCTCAATTGCTAAATTCTGGATGTTTAGATCTACTTAGCTTCAGCATTATTTTTTTGGTTTTGTTTCTCGCATTGCCTTTATTTCTCCTACCTCTGTGCCTTGTCGTTTTGTTGTATAGTAAAAATGTTGTTAGATCCCCATTGCCGTCGCCGCTAGAACGATGATTCTATAGCTTGATGACGATGATGAAGATGTGTGAGGCAAAAAAAATTATCGCGCATTATAAAAAGATGGTGCAGAAAATCAAAAATTATCATTCAGTCTTTGGTCGTTCTACCGACAACACAAAATAAATTTAAATAAATATTTTTCTATAGAAATTTGTGCTTTAGAATCTTTAAAAAAATGGTAAAGAATTTTGTATTTGTATTCTTAACTTAAGTGCAATAGACTCATTGTGACTTATATCATTCCAGAAAAACATCATCTTTGTGTTCGCTCTCATCGCTGCCGCATCATGTGACGTCTCACACATTGTCCAAGGAGATGGATGGTTCAAAGACGAAACTGGATATCATTATACACAACCAGAGACTAAATTCGATGCACCAGCTGCAGAAGAACCAGCATCATATGTATCTGAAGTTGTCGCAGAACCAGAAATTGTAAATGAGCCAGAACAAGTCATTGTTGAAGAAATTGTCGAATATGTTGCCCCAGAAGCTGCACCAGTTGTCGCTGATGCCGTTGCTGAAGTTAACCAAGACTACTTGCCACCACTCAACAATGACTATCTTCCACCAGTCCCAAATACATTGAGAGACTACCTTCCACCAAACGATTCAAAGAGAAAGCGTCAAGTAGTCCGTAAAGTATACCGTCGTTTCCTCAAGAGACACTAAGTCAATGATTCTCAACATCACTAATTAAAGATCATCGCACAATAAGAAGAATTTTTTTTTATCAGACACAACCGGGAAAAAAAGAACAATAAAAATTGAACCTTGATTAATACAAAACAACAAAAACACCAAAACAAGTGGCAGCGTCTAAATTACGCGTTTCAGGGTTGGCATTCATTTTCTTTCATGTACAACTTTTTTATATATAATATTTTTTTTGATTAATGGAATAAATCGCAAATTCCTTTAAAAGGAACTTCTTAAAAATATATATACACATCAACGTTAATTGTTAAGCTTTTATTACTTCCAAATTGACCATTCTCGATTGTTACAGGAAATATTAAACGTGTGAGATCTTCATCTTGAGACGAAAAAAGTCTTTAAAAAAATCATTTAATGTGACTTTTATGGATCATTATTCACACACCACACAGTCAGTCCACGTCATCTGATCTGCACGTCTGATAAAAATTTAAATCGAATGTTTTAAAGGAATAAGTCTCGAGACGATCGAGTTTTAATGACAAATTAAGGCACAAATAAAGCTGGCAAATAAAAATTGGAACAAGAAATTCTTCTTGCAATCTCATCCAGTAAAGTTATGCAATCGCCAGAGACTATGCAAATTTTTTAAAATATTTTTTAAGCAGGAATATTTGTGAGAAGGATTTAAATTCCTCTTTAATTAGAGATCGCACTCTTGACAACAGATCGCGACACTTTGCATGTCGGATTTCATGAACCCGAGGAACGCATGTTGTAGTTTAGTCGTTTGGTAGGTTTGGTATGATTTAAGACGAAAGGTCAATAGGAAGCCACAAGATATCTTCATATGCTACCTCGGGTCAAAAAACCCCTCATTGTAATTAAAATTCATAAAAAAACCTTTTCTAAAGATCCTCTCGAGAATAATAAAATGTCTTCATGATCATAAAGTCCATGTTCTATTGACACATCTTTGTCTATGGTCTGTTCCGTAATCTGCAAGTGACAGTAAATCGATGACCAAGGGTACAGAACTGACCAACTTAGTTTTAACAATTTTATTTAATAAGTTTTAATCAGCTTCACACCCTTGTCTAAGACTTTACAAAATAACGACTCCTAAAGCCACTTAATGACTTTATAAGGACTTTTATTTGCCTATTATGTCTCTCGACAAAAAAACTTTTAAAAGTCATTACTATTGTCTGTAAGGAACCAAGCAATAAGAAATTTGATTTTTTCGTACAATGCCTCTTGACCTTGTCTTTATTTAATTAGTTGTCTAAGAAGATTTTTTTTTTGAAGGAATTAAGAAGCTACAATTTTTTTGGCACTCTTTCCAATGGAGGAGCTTCGCAAGAAACTTGATTTAGCTTTCTGTTTTTATAAACCATCAAAACGCGTGGCACTTAAAGATTAAGACAGTGGAATGAGAGTTATGAGTCATTAGCTGATATGATTTAAGATGCTTGTTATTTGGAATTTTATTTATAAGTCATAAAATGCAAGAATGATTATTGATATTTTATATTACTTAAGTGATTTGGCGTTTTTGGAACCATCCGAATTATGTCCATCAAAAAATTAAATTTCAGTACCTAAATACCTCGATTGTCACAGAATTTCTATTAAACAATTACTTTTCATGAACTGAAATCTCAAAATCTCTTGAGGGGACGTTCACTTATGACGTCCAAAACTAACGGTCATTTTTCAAAAAGAACAATGGATTTCTAGGAATTTCTGTTGTCAACACCCCCCCCCCCCCCCCCCACCCCACTTGGACGTCATAAGTGAATGGCCCTCAAATGTTACATTCTTAATTCTTTGATGTATAGACCTAAGTTTTTCTGAAAGATAAGTCGCATAAATTCTAGATTTAATAATAAAACCATTTTAATGAGGTGCTTAAAATTTTAATATTTAAAGGAGCAACGCTACAGAAGGTTTCACTCAAAAGTCACATTTAAGTATAATCAGGGATAGAATGAAGTGCACATGATCCACGAAGCAAGGTCCTTCCAGACCAACAAATCTAGTTTAAGTTATGTAAGACTCCACATCGTCTCTAAGTTGCAAAATCTCAAACTTAGTAATTAAAAATCACTAATTAGAATTCTGCGAATCTGCTAAAGATAGCACCTGCGTGACTATAAACAAAAATTCCAAAACACTCAGCATTTATCACTAAACTTAAGACTTTAAAAATGTTTTCCATCCCAGCACGCTACACCGAACCATGATATGTTCATTATAAGTGATTTATAGCTGCTCGATAAAAATCTAGTATTTAAGATTAAAGGGAACTTCTTCTTCAAATGCCAATAACTTAATAGCTTAGTAAGAAATCATCAAGAATTTTCGGTCGTCGATTGTGATGTCATGGAATTGAGCAGTAATTTAACCTATATCATTTATCCAATTACCATTTTTAAGCAGGTAATGATTATGATGTCTCATTACCTCTTCAAATGACGTCACAACTCAATTGCTTCATCTTAAAATCTTGTGTATAAATCTCACATGTTTATCTTTCTCACGTGCTTACTACTTATGGATATTCAATTCAGAATAGAAATTTCATAAAATCGAGGATTAAATGTTTAGAATCAAAACAAGCGCAGAATGTGGATCGTAGATCAATTTCCACCTACGTGTGGCTATGTTTATTAATCCAAAATCTTGTCATCTTCTTTCTAGGCCTTAAAATACTTGACATTCCCATAATTTCATCAATTTTATTCGCAGATTGTGTTCTTCTTGCCTTCACATACACTTTTGAAGACACAAAGCATTTCTGTTTGATCCATTTTACTGCCGCATTTTTTGTTGCAAATTCTTTACGCGAAGATGAAATTCAGGGGCAATTGCCTATCCAAGTCATAAAATGAATGAATGAATGCTTTAATCGATTAATGAGGTGTGAATGTGTTGGTGCTACTATCACTTACTACATCGTCAGCATTGGCTACCTAATAAATATTGTTGGAATAAGAAGTAATGAATGATATTAATTTCCTAGGTATGACACATGTACTGAATTATTGGTACAAATTTATTTTATTATAAAAAGATGATGCATGTAGCTGTAAGTTATCATTCAGTCTTCAGTCTTCATATCGACAACAATCAAATCAAATAAATTCTTCAAAATGGTAACAAATTATTTTTGTGGATTTAATAAACTTTGTGTACTAAAGTGTTCCTTATTCTTATAGAAAAGCTTCATCTTCGTATTTGCCCTCATCGCTGCTGCTTCATGTGATGTCTCACATGTCGTCCAAGGAGATGGTTGGTTCAAGGATGCTTCAGGATATCACTACACTGAACCAGCAGTTAAATTCGATGCCCCAGTACCAGAAGAGCCTTATATTGCCCCAGAAGAACCAGTCGTTGTCGTAGAGGAATCAGTTGAGCCAATTGCTCCAGCTGACGAACCAATTCTTGTTGAACTTGATGTTGCTGCCCCAGAGGAACCAATTGTTGAAGATGATATTGTTGAAGTTGTTGATGAGTATATCCCACCAAGTGACTACTTGCCACCAAACAACAATGAATATCTTCCACCAAAATCAGAGGAAGCAAAGAAGAAGCGTCAAGTTCCAGTTCGCAAGGTTTATCGTCGCTTTATCCGAAGACAATAAATGTTCACAATAGGATAAAGTTTTAGAATAATGACAAATTAATGCTGTTAATAGGAAAAAAGTTATCCACTAGCATATAAACGAATTTAAAAGAGGAACTGAGCTTTTTGTCATTAAAAATGGCAGTTCCGCTTTATATAAACATGTGATGTCTCTTAGTAATTAATAAAATGCAATTCACAGAAAGTGAACTTAAAAAAAAATATCTTTGATTTTATTCATTTCATTAGGTTAGTAAAATTAGGTTTTGATTCAAACTTGGCCTTCTTTTTTTTTAAAAACTCGAGATTAATCCTGAAGATGATTATTAAATAATGAAAATCATAAACAATCTTCAAATTAGTTCGCAGATAATTTCAAGATTAAGGCTGGATTTTAACGCTTTGAAATTTTCTGAACGAATAAACTTAACTGGATTTTATATTTAGAAAGTAAAGCAGGTTTCAAAACATTTGAACTGTTGTTTACTTGAACTCCTAGGATTCTGCATCATATTTTGTTAAACATGTAGGTAGAGTTGATTTCTTGCCTTTTGACTTTGAAAAAGACAAATCTTTCAAAGGCATGGTTTTAAAAAATATCTTTTATCAAAGGCACTTGAAAAGCAAAACTCCTAAATTCCCCAAAATCTTGCAAATTCAAAGGCAAATCCGTATCAACTCTGCATGTAGGTAAATGTTACAACATACGCTCGAAATTTCTTATTTTTCAATAATTCTTATCAAGCTAGCTAGTCAGACTAGCATAAATCTGATTTAGAAATTACTTTTGAATTCAAGAGTTCTTTCTTCAAAACTAGGACTTGGCAATTTGAAGCCAATAAATGGATCTTTATTTTTGGCTACAGAACTGACTTAGTTCCTCCTGGATCTTTGTTTTTCGGATTAGAAAAAGACTTAAATCCTTGAAGGTCTTTGTATTTAACTCTTTTCTTGACTTTAAAAACCTTTAGACCATTAATGAGAATAATCCTTTTATGGCAATTGAATCAATTGAATTGGTTTATTTCTGGGTAATTATATACACATGCTTCTGTAAATTCAAACAGATTATCAACACATTAATATCCACACAAATATCGTCAATAAGTCTCATTCAAAACGCAATCATAAATCAAACATATTAATCAGTCCAAATATTCATTCAGCTTAAAATTGTAAAACAAAGCATTAAAAATATGAATGAATATCTTTTTCGACATATAAGATGCTCTTGAGTGTGTTTGTGACGTATAAATCTTTTACTACCATTTTACTACATCATCTGAATAGGCAATAAATTTTTGGTGGACGAGTTCCTAGATGTGACAATTGTGTTTAATTTTATTGCAGGATTCTGTTATTATAAAAAGAACATGTAGATAGCAGAAAATTATCATTCAGTCTTCAGTTTCTAAAACGACAAGAGTAGAATCTCAAAAAAATATCAAAATGGTAAGAATGATAAGGAATTCGATTAATTGATACACGTGAGTCTAAGTACTCCTTATAATTACAGAAAAGTATCATTTTCGTGTTCGCCCTCATTGCTGCTGTCTCATGTGATGTCTCACATGTTGTACAAGGTGATGGATGGTTCAAAGACGAATCAGGATATCATTATACAGAACCAGCAGTAAAATTAGATGAAGTTGTTGTTGAGGAAGCAGTTATTCCTGCAGAAGAACCAGTCATCGTTGAAGAAGTTGTAATTGCTGACGCCCCAGTTGAAATCGCAGAACCAGAATCAGTCGTTGCTGATGAAGTCGTTGAAGTTGTAGCTCCAGAGGAAGCACCCGTTGTTGCTGATGCCGTCGCTAAAGTCACCAATGAATACTTGCCTCCATCAAATGACTATCTTCCACCACAATCTGCTGATGCCAAAAAGAAGAGACAAATTCCAGTCCGTAGAGTTTACCGTCGTTTTGTCAAGAAACACTAAATTTCCAATATTGGATAAAGTTTTTATGATGAAAATCAAATTATGCTCTTGATTGTAAAAAGTTATTCAAAATAATTATGAGAAGAAATTGAACTTTTTTGAATCAAAAATGGCAATTCTTCTTGAAAAAAAAATATAAAAATGTGATTTAAAATTATTAATAAATTTTGCAAACTCACAAAAAGTGAAATTTAATATTTTTTTATTTTTTATTTTAAATTTTCAGTTCGTTCTTTGAAAACCCAGAAATCCTTTGCTTGACTATAATAAATTAAAACAGAACTTTTTGAAACTTCAAATTAAGGATATCCTGTCTGTATCTGTTGATATACATGCTCGACATTCTAACGCATACGTTTTTGTGAAAAATAAATAAAATTCCATCAAACGTTTTGCCAAAAATAACTTTAGTTTGAGAAACTTTTGAAGGTTATTATCACAATTGACATTTATGATTGATTTAGTTTTGCAAATCAAAATTTTCAGCAGCATTCACAATATTTCTTGAAGTCAATGCCGAAATTCTCAATCTTCCGGCATTTTAATTTTCCTAGTCTTAATAAACGTCAAATTTGCATTAAGACTTAAATATGATTTTAATGAAAATTACTTTAATCTATTTTATAAATGAAACAATCGCTTATTTTTTGAGATATTGCTGAAATTTATTTCATGAGATTTAAGTTACGCGAAGAATTTCAAATATTTTTGATTTCACAATTTCAGAACATTTGATCTCGTGTGGAACATGATTTATCAAGGAATCACAATATGTATTTTATAAATGTTTAAGAAAGCTGGATAATTTATTTTCAGACAACAACTAATTAAGAGCCATTCAATGCAACTCATTAAATAAAATAATGAAAACTTGTTTCTTTTGTTATTTTGTAAAACAATAAATTTTAATAAAACTCATAAAACTAATGAAAAGTTTTAAATAAAAATAAATAAATTCTAAATTACCAAATTTGATATCTGATTGAAATATTCTAAAAACTACGACATTCCAGAAAGAAATATAGAACAGAATTGATATCAAAATAAACAAGTACATACAACATTCCAAGGAACAATAGATTCTTAAAATAATCTAGTTTCAAACACACTTAAACTAAGTCTACAAAAATCATATTCATAATCCATATTGTAATACGTCATCATGAACTTAATCGGTCCAAATATTTATCCAAAGCACGGAAAAAAAATACTTCAAGACAAAGCATTGAATGAATGAATATCATAATCGATATATGAGTTGCTTATGGCTGTATTTGTGTGGTAATCTCTTCTTTACTACTGTTTACTACATGATCAACACTGTAAATGTTTCCTAGATACGACAATTGTGGTAATTTTCAATGCAGTAATCTCTTATTATAAAAAGATGATGCTTGATGCTGGAAATTATCATTCAGTCTTCGTTTGCTCAATCGACAACAGTAGATTCTCAGTCTTAACTTATTAAAATGGTAATGGAAAAATATTTCTGGTGGATTTAAAAAGGTTTGTGTACTAAAGTGCTTCATGTAATTACAGAAAAGCATCATTATTGTGTTCGCCCTCATCGCTGCTGCTTCATGTGATGTCTCACATATCGTGAAAGGTGATGGATGGTACAAAGATGAAACTGGTTATCATTACACAGAACCAGCAGTTAAATTAGATGAACCAGTTCCAGAAGAACCAATTGTCCCAGTTGAAGAGCCAGTCGTTGTTGAAGATGTTCCAGTTGAAGAGCCAGCACCAGTTGAAACCGAAGTTGTTGCAGAACCAGAAATCGTTGCTGAGCCAGAACAAGTCATTGTTGAGGAAATTGTCGAAGTTGCTGCCCCAGAGGAGCCAGCACCAGTTGTTGCTGATGCCATTGTTGAAGTTAACCAAGACTACTTACCACCAAAGAACGCATACCTTCCACCACAATCAGCTGAAGCCAAGAAGAAGCGTCAAATTCCAGTTCGCAAGGTCTACCGTCGTTTCGTCAGAAGACATTAAATGTTCACAAATTGGATAAAATTTTTTAGACTGAAAACAAAATCGTTTTAAAGGACAAAAAAGTTATCCTCCAAGCAAAAACGGAATTAAGAAGAAAAATTGAGCTTTTTAAAATTTAAAAAAAAACTGGCAATTTTTCTTCTTAATTAAATTTATTTAAAATGTGATGTTTAATAGTAATGAATAAATGTGCAAATTCACAGAAAGTGAACTTGAAAGTCTTTTAATTTGTCATTGGATTCAAAAAAACAAACATTAAATCTCAATTTAAGCTTATGAAAGTTCTCAAAAGAGGGATTTCATTGTCGCAAGGTCAAGAATCAAATAAAAATCTCATCAATTTCTCATCAGTTTCAATTCTTCGCTCAAATCGAAGAGGTTAACTTTGAAATTCCTGCTGATTTTTTATTTTGTAATAATCATTACAGTGCAAAATTCAAGGACTTTACAAAACTACTGAAGCAAATCTACACAAAATTTTAGAAGATTATCGCTGTAGCTTGATATTAACAACTGTGCTTATCTGAGCCTTTAAAATATCAAAATAATGTCGAAGTTACTGAACCTTAACCTTTTGTGCTTGATTGTAATACTAAATCTGAACTTAAAATTTGCCTCAGCCTACAAATGTGAGTTTAAAAACACTAAATACTGGGTGGGTTCATATTATAGCTGCAACATCCTGCCTAATTCCAATAAAGCTGAAAAGCATTTTGCTGGTAAAAATGACAATGATGTCAAGGCTGTTGTTTTCTATGGAGGAAAACTTGGAATTCAGCGATTTTCAAAGTCAGAAGCTTCATTTTTTGATAGATTCCAAACTTTAAACTCGATATCTGTTAATGCTGTCAAATCGATTGATGGAAATTCTATCCAGAAGTTTGGAGATTTGAAGGTTTTTGAACTCGCTAACACTGAAGTTCGTGAGTTGCCTGAAAATTTCTTTTCTGGAAATTCAAAACTTCATGAAATTATATTAACCGATAACAAGTTGACATCTTTGCCCGAAAATATATTTGCAAATCTTAAGGAACTGAAATTTCTACGCTTAGAAAAGAATCAACTCAATGACTTGCCAGCAAACATCTTTAAGCCACTCAAAAAAATCAAAATTTTATCTCTTGAAGGAAATAAAATACAAACTTTAAATCCAGCTTGGTTTGAACCATTGGGACACTTGGAAAAATTAGTCATTGGATATAATCAAATTTCAGATTTACCCAAAAACATTTTCAGCTCATTAGTAAATTTAGATTTCCTAGCTGCTGATTTCAATCGTCTAACAACCATCCATGCAGATTCATTTGGAGATATCAAAGAATTGTACTTTGTGACTTTTAGTGACAACAAAATTAACGCAATTGATGGGAAAATTGTCGATATCTTCAAGCTTGATTGGCTTGGTGTTGACAATAATGTCTGTATAAAGGATTTTATCTTCCAACAGGCAACAGCAAAACAGGAATTGAAGGCATGTTTTGATAACTATCAACCTAGGAATCAATAGATTCATGTGATGAACAAACATTGAATTAAGCATCACAAGCATTTAATTTATGAATCGTATTAATAAAATGACTTTATAAAAAATATTTATGAATCAATATATTTTTTAATCTGACTCCATTACTAGCCATAATCTGATTCATTGATGTAATATATCCAATAATACAAATTTATTACATGAGAATTATTACTCAACTTACAGCATAATGACTCATAAGCCATACATTACATCTATCCTATAATTTTAATAAATATTTAACGAAATCGCCTGACAAAAAAAGCTTCATCCACAACTCACTTTTTTATCAAGCATACAAATTCCAAAATAATTGTCAGCAGATGTCGATAAAATACAGAAAGTCAAACAAAACCTTTTATATACCTCACAATGTGTATTGAGAGCAAATATATCTGTGTCTATAACCTGCATGAGCGGATATATGTATTTTTTAAATTTACTAGATTATAATAAAGCGATGGCTGCAATTAGATTATTATTGACTAGAATTGTCAATTGTTGGATTGATTAAACATTTGAGATGGATTATAAAAAGAAGGTCCAGATGGGCTGAAATTATCATTCAGTCTTCGGTCTTCATATTGACAACAGTAGAATCCTCAAAAAAAAAACTTTTAAAAATGGTAAAAACTTTGTGCTAAATTGACATATTGAGATAAAACTTTAACTGATTTGTATATCCACAGAAACTCATCATTATCGCTTTTGCTCTCATTGTTGCTGCTTCATGTGATGTTTCACATATTGTCGCTAGTGAAGGATGGTTCAAAGACGAGTCTGGCTATCATTATGACAAACCTCAAGGAAAGCTTGATAACCCAGAATTAGAAATTGAAGAAATTGTTGTTGCTACAGAGGAGCCATTTGTTGATGAGGTTGTCACTGAAATTGCTAACGATTACTTGCCACCAAATGACTACTTGCCACCAAACAATGACTTGAAGGAATATCTTCCACCAAAGTCTGAGGAAATCAAGAGAAAGAGACAAGTTCCAGTCCGTAAAGTCTACCGTCGTTTTGCAAAGAAACACTAAAGTAAGCAAATATCATAGCATGAACCTGGACTGACTGTTTGAGAAATTGACATTAATATTTAAGCAACAAGAAAAAAAAAATGAAAAACTTTTGTCAGACACAACGGAAAGATAAAGGATGTGATATGGAGATCTTGAATAATGACGAGAATCTATAAGTTTTTAGATCATTCAAGATCACACAATATTCAACATTTTTATCTTTCTTTACTTATTTTAAGTTTTGAATAAATCGCAAATTCCTATAAAAGGAAATTTCTATTGTTTTTATTTCTTCAGACTTTTAGAATGTTTATTAAGCACACTAAAAGGGTTTTTAGTACAAATATGATGTTTTACTTTACTTTGTCAATATGCCGACTGTATGTTTGCTTTTTATTCGTAAATTTTAAACTATCTGTTTTTGCTCATAAGGATGTTAATGGTTAAGGTCATTGTGAAGGTTATGGCTCAAAGAATTACACAAATTAAGCTAAAATTTCAAATTCATGCTTTTTTGATAAAATCTCAAAGCTAATAGTTTGATCCACAACTGCCAATAGTCTTCTTTATGATTGATTCAAACAACCTTCAATGTTTGTTTTAGAATCTTCACGATTAAATCTTTTAGACGGCCACCTTTAGTCTAGAGTTAGTAAATCAAATCAATGTTTGTTTTAGATCAATAAATCAAAAATTAATGATAGATGATTTATTTGCTCATACAACTCTAACCTTGATCGTCAGATGAGCTTCATCAAAAGGTGATTGAACTTAAAATGTATAAAAAAACATATATGCAGTCACTTTGAATATATTGTCATCATCATTTAATTAATCTATGATTTAAGACTAATGTATCCGGATTAGCTGTACTTTTGTTTAATAATAGCGATGCAAAGGTGCATGAAGTACTAATTGATGAAGACAATTCATAATCCCAAGTTTCCATAACTAATTGAACTCGATTCGATCAATTTAATAAGAATCCTAAGTGCCACTTTTGGTCTCCTAATTGAATCTTTAAGTGTCTTTAGCACTTTTAATAAAAGAAATTCTTTTAACATGAACAAATTGACATTATGATCTCGTGGGGAAAATACAGGTGAACAATTCGACAGAATTAGTTTGAAACACGACCAGACATGACTGAAAAATTAAAATAAGTTCCAAAAATTGTTGTTTAATACAATAATAATCAACTTAGGAGATTTAAAAACATTATTTTGAAAATATTTTGGCGTTTGAAAAAACCTGACCTCGAGGTCAACAAAGCTATTATAAATCTATACAGCACAAGCTACTGTTGTTTACAAACAAAATCAAAACCATGTCCACTTGAATCATAAAAGAATACTTGTTAATCTACACAAAAGAAAGTGCTCTTAACATCAATCATATTAAACAGTAGCTAATTGATACTACATGATGTAATCCAGTCACTATACATAAACTAATCTGTTTGAGATTAGATGACTTAATTTATTGAATCCAGACATCCATACAAACCATTAGCCAAAAAAAATTGCAGCAGAGTTCTTAGCGGTCATTAATAAGCATTATGTCATTTTCTCATTCTATTTGATTTGTAAAAAATGACGACTATAATTCAAATAGAATTCTGTAATATAAAAAGGAGGTGCTGAAAGTCGAAAATTATCATTCAGTTTTAAATCGTTCTATCGACGAGAGCAAGAAGCAATTTAATTTGTGATAAAAGTTGGAGGAAAAGTTAAACTTAAACAAAATGGTGAGTTTTGTAGAAAATTATTGAGGATCGTTCAATAGATGATGTTCAATAGTCAGAATACAATGGCTAAAATCCAAAAATAATTGTAAAAGAGGAAGGAAAGCTCTAATTTGTTCAAACAATTCCATTTGCAGAAGAATCTCATCATTGCCTTTGCTCTTATTGCTGCCGTCACCTGCGATGTATCTCATGTCGTGCAAGGAGATGGATGGTACAAGGACGAAACTGGATATCACTACATTGAACCAGCACCAAAATTAGATGCCGTTGAGGAGCCAGTCATTGAAGTTGGAGCATTTGCACCATACTCAGTCCCAGAAGTCCAAGACGAAGTTGTTGAAATTGTTGAAGAAATTGTCCCAACCAAGGAAGACGAGTTGCGTGAATATTTGCCACCAAAACAAGAGGAATTCAAGAGGAAGAGACAAATTCCAGTCCGCAGAAACAAGATCGTTCGTCGTTTCGTTAGAAGACACTAGACTAAATCAATAAGCTAAAATAAATTGACGACCATGGCAAATGAATATGGACATGCGAAAACAAAACATTTTTTTTCTACTTCCAAATGGCAGGCATTATTCAATAGGCATTATTTTCTCACTTTCATGTAATAATCTCTCACTCAAAAGAATTCTTTTTTCATTCAATAAATCGCAACTCCTTTCAAAAGGAATTTTTTTTATAAAGTTTTTATTCCTTTAATTTATTGCTGCAATTAATTTCAGTCTCGTTTATTGGATACTCCTCACGTTTATTTTGAATGTCACCTTCAAAATTTTTATTTAAGATGATGCGAATTTGACAGCAAAATAAACATTTTTATTGAATCCCCGTTGTATCTCCTACACTGTGTGGAGTTAATGAGAAGATTTTTAAAATTTGGTTACTAATTGAGTTGAATGCATGTCAGGTGTTCGTCTTAAGATTACATAAATTAAAAATTGAGAAATTGCAAAAATTGAGATTTATTTTATTTTGAGTAAAATGAAATTTTATCCTTAATTTGATAGCTTTTAAATAATTTTTTTGCCAAATAAATGAATGAACAAACTGAAATTTGAAGTGGTGGATTCAGAGTTTTATCAACGTTTGCCTAATTTGTAAAATTCTTATATTATGATGAATTTGGACTCACCTTACTCCACACCTGACACCCAACCCCCACCTGACACCCACCTTGTCAACACTCCCCAAATTATTGGCTTCACACGACTTCACAAATGGCTTCACGTGGCTTCCGTTCTAGAGTCAGTGAGTCAGGGAATTGGGCTTTATAATATAGATGATCATTAGCTTGTAACGCATAATCTTTTAAAACAAAATTTTCAATCAAGACAATTTCTTTTGTTATAAATGTTACAAGATCTTACACCTTCTTCCACCCTCTAAATGCTGCCAACTTTTTTAATGCCTTTATTCGATTTCTGATACCAACTCAATAACATTATTCAATATATAACTCGATCAGCACACATGGAAATTGCTTCCAAGCGGCTGCTGCTTGGTTCTAATCATACTATCAACCCGACCGCCTGTCAAACATTTCATTGTGTACCGATCGGATAATCTTCTGAAAACGAATTTTGAACCACCATCGAAATCTGTTTTTTCTGACCACAACCACAAAATTTTTTTTGTTAATCCATAACTACATACCTCACTCAATTGATCTTCTTGTTCAACTTTCTGTTTCATTTAAAAAATTGTCTCATCTTCTTACTTAAAACTTCTTTATCCCTCAACAAAAAATTCAACTTTACTTAAACAAACAACCAGAAATTTTAACAGTAGCTCAATGAAATGTCCTTAAGCAGTGTCTTACAATAAACATTGCAAAAATGGCACAGAAATCTTCAAAAGACCTTATTGTTTCAGCTGCATGATTAAATGTAAACATTAACTGAAACTGGTTTAAAATTGATTGCAATTAGAATCAACTGTTTAATTTCTTTTAATTGTTCAACCATGACGTTGGATAAGTCAAACAATATTTTTGGATTATAAAAAGAAGGTACAGATGGGCATAAATTATCATTCAGTCTTCAGTCTTTAATTCGACAGCAGTAGAATCTCAAAAAAAAAAAAAAAAAATTAAAAATGGTAAAAATATTTAAGTAAATTAGACCTTATTGACTTTAATAAGTAAACATAACTTACATTACAGAAAAGCCTCATTATCGCATTCGCTCTCATTGTTGCCGTCTCATGTGATGTTTCGCATGTTGTACAAGGTGAGGGATGGTCGAAAGACGGATCTGGATATCATTACAGTAAGCCAGAAGTAAAATTCGAATCACCTGATGAAGTTCTCCCAGAAGATGAGCCAATTGTTGAGATTGCCACGGAAGAACCAATTGAAGAGCCTGTTACTGAAGTCTTGATTGAAGAATTGCCAACAAATGACTACTTGCCACCAAACAACAATGAATACCTTCCACCAAAATCCGAAGAAGCCAAGAGAAAGAGACAAGTTCAAGGCCGCAAAGTCTATCGTCGTTTTGCAAAGAAACACTAAATCATTAAAGTATATGTGGACTGATCGATTTATGACTACGGCTAGGCAATAAATCAACATCGAAAGAAGAAGTAAAAGAGCTTGAACAACATCGGATGATGATGATGATGATATCTACATTAGATGTCTGTTCGTCAATGAAATTCTTTTAAGGGCTGTCATTCGATTTTGATTTTATTAAGCATGTACAATTTTCTGTTCAAAAATTCCTTGTTTGTTTTTAATTTAAAATAAATTGCAAATTCCTTTAAAAAGGAAATAATTTTGGTATTTTTCATGATTTTTGATTGTTTCAGCAATAATGGGTTATTTTTAAATGACGTCCATAAAAAAATGATAGTTTTAGTTCATCAATCTACTCAGTAACATAGTTTTCATATTAAAATGTTTCGGTTTTTTGAAGTGTCACATTTGACAGACCCTCTTCCTTCATAAAAGTTTGACATCATTTTTGAACGACTTCTACATCACAAAACTTTAGATGAAACTTATTAATTTCCACCCAAATATTAATATTGATGATCACATTAGGGGTCGTTCACTTATGACATCCAACATTTAGGGGGAGAGGGGGGTGACATATTGTGACATAGGTGGGGAAGGGTCTAAAATCTAGGATTTTATGGATGAACGTCATAAATGAACAGATCCTCATTAAATCTAATAGATTCCATAATAGTTCCTAATTTTCAGCACATCCTCTATATTCATGGTCAAATAACTGCGTATGAGCCAAATTCCGTAAAATCACATTAAATTGTCAGAAAAAAACTCTTAAAACAGATCAATGAATTCAGATGCTGAAATGAGAGATTATCCTCATTAAAAGCTCATTGAGTATCCATCGATCACACAAAGTTTACTTAAATCATCACATTATAATCGTTAGCAGTCAGTGTGCCATAAAAAATAATCCAAATTATCTCGTTGAATATTTACGCGGTTGAGCTAATCTTTAGTATAATCCACTTCTAGCAAGCTTACATCATCCAGCACACACAACATTCTCACTTTCATTTCATGAAATCCATAAAATTATTGATACAACATTTCTGTCTAGGTTATTAAACTTTAAATGACAATTGGATTAACATACGAAAAATCAGAAAAATAGACACGAGGAAATAAAAACTCATAAAGCGATTTTTTTGGACATAACATTTTAAAATATCGACTTGTTGCGCACATAAATATTTTTCATTGACTATATGGATGTGTATCGCACATCTCATTGTGACGAATTCTTCATTTGTTGCAAATTCTTTTCGTGTATCAAACAGATGATGGATATAAAACTATATAAATACAACTAATTATGCATGTAGTATGTGTGTAAAATGTTTATAGCCATTAATTGCATGATGATATAGAATAGCTTCTCAGATATTGCAATTTGATTTTTTTTTTTATTACTGACTAGAATTGGTCAATTTCTTTCTTTACCAAAATATTTCAAGTTTTTCCTCTCCGATTTTTTTAACACTTATGTGGAGCAGCGTTATCGTGGATTGTATAAAAGATGGGACAGAATGTCGAAAAAATATCATTCAGTCTTCGGCTGTTCTACTGAAAACAACACAAAATATTTTCTTATAGAAAGTGATTTAATCCAAACAAAATATTAAAAATGGTAAGAACAAAAATTGGGTTTTTTTTTATGATATATTTGCCGGAACTAATTATTATTTTATTAACCAGAAACTCATCTTTGTATTCGCACTTATCGCCGCTGTTTCATGTGATGTCTCACACATCGTCCAAGGAGATGGATGGTTCAAAGACGAAACTGGATATCATTATACTCAACCAGCAGCTAAGTTTGATGAAGCAGTTGCAGAAGAATATGTTGTTGTCGATGAACCAGCACTAGTTGCCGAGCCAGAGCCAGTCGTTGTTGAAGTTCCATTTGAAACCCCAGTAGAAGCACCACTCGAAGAAGTCGTCGTTGCTGATGAACCAACACCAGTCGAAGCTGTCGAAGCTGTCGAACCAGAAGTTGTTGCTGAAGTTCTTGCTGATCCAGTTGAAGCTGTCCCAGAAGTTAAAGTAAACAACGAATACCTTCCACCAGTTGCACCAGCTGATGCTAAGAAGAAGAGACAAACTCCAGTTCGTCGTGTCATCCGTAAAGTATATCGTCGTTTTGTACCAGTCAAAAGACATTAAATCAATTACCATCAAAAAGTTACTATCAAGCAAAAAAGATCATCGCTATGAAGAAAAACTATAAAACTTTATCAGACACAACAAGAAAGAAGAAAGCGAAATTCGATTAATTGTCGAAACGTGATAGCATCTATATTAGATGTCATCTTTTGGGTTTCTTTTTTTGGGGATTCTTTCAACAAACATTTTTTCTTTCTCTCATGTTTAATTTCTACTCATTTTTAAATTCTGAATAAATCGCAAATTCCTATAAGAGGAAATATATAAGCATTTTTTATTAATTTTGTTTTAACAGGTATGCGACAGCTGCAGGTACGTGAAAGCTGAGATTTTTAACCATCTTTTTTTAATGGTTCAATAAACTAAGAAAAGCAAAATAACAGAATTAATTTAATTTAAATCATCAATTCAAGGTGATCCAATTAATAATCAACTTTTTTCAAGTTCAAATTCGACAAAAAAAAAATTTCAAAGGTAAAAAAATGATTGAAATTCTTTTTTGCAAAAATGTATGAAAAAAGCATAAAAATGCCCAAAAGTACTGTTTTCTGCAATCTATAAAATTTAATTTTTTTTTAAATTGATGAAGCTTTATACGCTGATTCTTAAAAGTTGATTTTGGTTTCATAAAAGTGCTTCCTGTTGATCAAAAATGCCCAATTATATCAAAAAAAATCAATTTGCAACTTAAATTTAGCAATTGTCATATGGAAATTTTAAGATTTGATTTGTTGTGGTTCTTGGGTTGTGCGGGTGGGTGAACAAGTCAAATATTTTTTTCAAAAGTTCAAATCCCAAAAAAAATCCAAAGGAAAAAAATGAATGAAATTTCTTTTTGCAAAAATGTATGAAAAAAAGCATAAAAATGCCCAAAAGTACTGCTTCCTGCAATCTATAAACTTTAAATTTTTTTTAAATCGGTGCAGCTTTAAACGCTGATTCTTAAAAGTTGATTTTGGTTCCATAAAAGTGCTTCCTGTTGATCAAAAATGCCCAATTATATCAAAAAAAATCAATTTGCAACTTAAATTTAGCAATTGTCATATGGAAATTTTAAGATTTGATTTGTTGTGGTTCTTGGGTTGCGCGGGTGGGTGAACAAGTCAAATATTTTTTTCGAAAGTTCAAATCTCAAAAAAAAAAAAAAAATTTTCAAAGGAAAAAAAAATGAATGAAATTTCTTTTTGCAAAAATGTATCAAAATAAGCATAAAAACGCCCTAAAATACCAGGCATCAATTAATTTGTTTGTTTTTAAGTAAATGTCATAAGCAGCTGTTAAAATTGCCTCTATAAAGCAAGGAAATTTCATGGGTCTTTATATCGAGCTAACCTTTAAGAATCTTAACAAAAAGGCTACTTTTTTTATTTTCCTGATTTGAATACATCCAATTATGTATGTTGGGAAGCAAAACATTTATAGCTATTAATTGCATGATGATATAGAATAGCTTGAAGGACTTTGCAATATGGTTTTTATTGTCTATATATGGCAAACTTCTTGTTTTATCACTTTAGTCGAGGATTGTTATCATTGATAGTATAAAAGTTGGTGAAAATGGATGCAAATTCATCATTCAGTCTTCGACTATTCCACTCAAAACAACCAAAGTGATTTTTTAAATTAATAAAAATGGTAAGCCACTAAAATCAACTTTATTGAAACTTCAAAGTATATCATAATTCATTCCTTTAGAAACTCATCATTGCATTCGCTCTTATCGTCGCTACCTCTTGTGATGTCTCACATATCGTACAAGGAAATGGATGGTTTAAGGATGCTTCAGGATATCATTACAACAAGCCAGAAACACGCTTCACAGAAGAAGTTGCCGTTGAAGAAATCGTTGATGCTGATGTCCCAGCCATTGAAGAATCATTAATTGTGGCTGAGCCAGAATCTGTCATTGCTGATGAAGTCGTTGAACAAATTATCGGATCTGATGAGCCAGTCAGTGTTGAAGTTCCATTTGAAACCCCAGTCGAAGAAGTCGTCGTTGCTGATGAACAAGCACCAATCGAAGTTATTGAACCAGAAATTGTTGCTGAAGTTGTTGCCGATCCAATTGTTGAAGTTGTCCCAGAAGTTAAGGTAAACAATGAATACCTTCCACCAGTTGATGCTAAGAAGAAGAGACAAATTCCAGTTCATCGTGTCATCCGTAAGGTTTATCGTCGTTTTGTCCCAATCAAGAGACACTAAATTAATTTTGAATTATAATGACAACGCCTCCTCACCATGAGAAATTGTGATATGATATTGTTGGATTCCTTTTTTGAGGAATTCTATGAAATATTTATTTATTTGCTGAATGAATTTTCTAGCATGTTTTTCAAAAGTTTTTATGAATAAACTGGAATTTTTTTTAAAAAAAAACAATATTTTTTACTATCTCAGCAGCAGCACATAGTGAACCCTATTGGCTAGCTATAGCAACCATCCTCTACTTATCAAAAAAAGACACCTCTGAGTCCCATCATAAGTTCAAGTGTGTTCAGATTCTTATTCATCAGGCAACTTTACCACAAATTTCAACAATTTGTGACTCAAATCATTGAAACTTAATATTCGACTGACCACTCATTCCAGCAATAATTGTCATCAATAAACAAAGCCATATAAAAATGCATCCAGAACTGATTGAAGTCAGTATTAACAAATTAATAGTAATCATAAATTTTCCGACATCAGTAAATTGCTCTCTAATCTTAAAATATTAGATTTCGGCTAATGGACACACGTAAATAATGATATTGATGACAAATGAATTGTCGCAGCAGGTGTTCTAGATAATGATGCAATCTGGATGAGTCAGTCGAATAAAGCCTCATTAAGTGTTAGCGCTACGTGCTATTGTCATCATGATGCTCAAATTCATCATTCTATAGATGCCTATTCAATCCTAGAGTTTTTGTTTTGAAAATGAATAGAAATTTGAATATCAAGCTACAAGACTAGGAAATGAAACAGCACAGAAGAGTTAATTAGAAGCTTCTTATCAAAATTTGTCAGGCTAATCCCATGTGCGTAACTGCAATATTTAATACAATTATTATCATTTCTAATTAATCATTACAAGCTTTATTAATATTTTCAGCAACAATAATGTAAGAATCAATTGTTATTTTAAGCATAACCAGATAATCAATCAGTAATAATAACTCCAATTCAAGCTATATCTAAATGAGACATATACACAATTCACGAATAAAAGATCAATTCCTCACATTTTATTCGACTTCTGGGTGATGCTCATCGAAATATTTTTTTTGCCATTATTTAAAGCACATGCTGTTTTATGAGCTATTTTCGTGTGATTTTATCAGACTAATAAAGCTATCATGTTTCTATTTTTGAGTAGGTACCCATGCGTATGAATACTATATTGTTGCTGTATGAATTACTGTTTTATCTATTGTCTCTCTATTCAAAACCAGTATTGATCATGTAAGCATCTTCATAATGGTATTTCTCGTTTCTAATTAAATAAAACAATGCCTTTGTAAAGACGACAATACTGATCTTTGCCGATATGTTTTAATTACTTGAATTATTACATGGTGAGACAAAATACAGAATTGGACACTTATGGATATTAGTAAGTGCGATTTTTAAAAGCTTTTTACTTAAAACTAAATTTAAGAGTGACTCTAGGTATGACCTTAGTCTATATGCACCTTATCAAAGTTGAATTAAGGCAATAGTCCTCCTCGAGCTAGCTTCACAGCCTAACCTTCATGCCAAAGACTCAAATACTCAATTGAACATGACAACTAATCTTTAATATACGATCATTCCACGTAGATTCTAACTTCAGTTCTTCTCATTGTAAGCATATATTCAGTTCTCGTCTTTAACAGCAAACGACAGTAAAATTCCATTTAATTAAAAACCCACCAACAGGTATGTAGGTACAAGATGAATCAACAAAAATAACCAGCTTTGCTCATAATAAAGTGATGAAAAAAATTACTTAAAAATTCAGAAAGCCAGAATGCTCCCATTTTAGAAATATCATCGCAACAACTTTACATTCTTATCCAACAGAATGTATATTATATACCAAAAGAGCAGTTCTCTAAAAGAAGGAAAAGCTTGACAATTTGTTGTGATTTTTTATCTTTCGATTCCACGACAGAAAATCTAAAACGTGTGACTTAATCAATAACGCTTTGTCAATTCCTTTGTCATCCAAAATAGAAACAATCAGTTTGAAGCTTTAGTTTAGTCAGATGACTACAAACTAAGCAGCTTTCTTCTAATATTCGGCATATTAAGATTGATGGCTTTATCAGGTTCAAAACGGTAAACAAAACAGACTATTAGATGTTGTTTAAAATGTGGGTAAATGTCTCACATGCTATTAATATACATACAGATGACAAAGAATAATCTTGTTCATTGCAGTCTGATTTTTATTTTTTTGTCTCGATATTAACGGAATTGGGCAAATTTCTTTAAATACATAATATTTCTTGTTTTTAACACTTAAACTGAAACATTGTTATCGTTTATTATATAAAGATGGTGTATGAAATCGGAAATAATCATTCAGTCGACAGTCGTTCTACTGCAAACAACACAAGTCTTTTTGTTTATCTAATAAAGGGAAATCAATAAAAATGGTAATTTGATATTGAGAATATTTGATGCAGTCATTAAAACGTGTGACATATTTTCGTCAATAGAAAATCATCATCGTCGCATTCGCTCTTATTGTCGCTGTCTCGTGTGATGTATCACATGTTGTACAAGGTGATGGATGGTTCAAGGACGAAACTGGATATCATTATACAGTCCCAGAGACACGATTTACAGAGGAAGTTGCTGATGAGCCAGCACCTATTGTTGCTGAATATGTCCCAGAACCAGCTGTATATGACGATGCACCAGTTTATACACCAGAAGCCACAGCACCTGGAGTAAGTGTCTAGTCAATCTTTAAAACTAAATGGTAAGAGAATTTCCTAAATTAATCCATATTTTCTTCATTTTCAGTGCCCCAATGGAGGTTCAGGTCCATACTGTTGCATCAATGGAGCCGAAACAGAAGATTGCGGCTACTCAGACCAAGAACAAGTCTATGAAATCATTGAATATATTGACGTCCCAATCGATATTGAACACTTAAGAGATTATCTCCCACCATCAGGTGACGCCAAAAAGAAGAGACAAACACCAGTTCGTAGACAAGTCCGTAAAGTATACCGCCGTTTCGTCCGCAAACACTAAATGAATATGAAGCAAACGCAAACATCTCTAAAATGAAGAAGAATTCTTTATCAGACACATCGAAAATTAAATAACATCCAAATCTATGGCAGCATTGAACATCAATCAGGATTGGCATTCGACAATTTTTTTATATACGTATATACTTTTCTTGTACAATATTTTATATACATATCACTTTTATATAGTTTAATAAATCGCTAAGTTTCGTTCTAAGATAACACAAAAAAAAGTCGGGAATATTTTCATGTGACTTCTGCATTTTGCAAGATATCTTGTTTGTGTGACTTGAAATAAGAAGAACACTTAATACCAGTCAAATTAACCCGCTTATAATTAAAACCCGAACAGTTTCTGATATAAATCTCCCAACTCATTTGTCATCCTCATGTTTTTAATCTTTGCGGATTTTGCTGATTTTGTTTTAAAAACAAAGCGACGTAAGACCTAAAAACACACATTCAGTTCTAAAGAACAATAATATTTAAGACTATAATTCTAGTTTTATTACTTGCGAATATTATCACGGTAATATCTTCATTTCTAGCTCATAAACAATTCAATATACATTTTAAATGGATTAGTGAGGATTATCGCATTTTAGATGATTAGTAATGACAACTTTGCCTTGTTATACGTATGATTGACCACAGTAAATCGTAATAATTGCCTACGATTTGATTGTTTTAAGCTCATTGAATATCTTACAAGTTGATAGACTTTATCATAATTGGATGTGGAATGAGAGCATTAAATTGGATTTAGAGATAAAATTGGAATATTAAATTGGTGTTTTTGAATTAATAATTCATAGTGCAATATTTGTTTGATTGTTATAAGCTGCTTTAGATAATTTCAGTTTATTAATCCGGATCAGATATTATTGATAAGTTTATTTTCAATTTTATAGAATTTGTGTTGATGAAATGATAGTGAATATAAAATTCATAAAATTTCTTATTTTGATAATTAAAGTTATCTTTAACTAGTTCCTAGTCTACTTCCATCTTTTAGATCTCCCTATAACTGCTATATGTGTATACTAATGTTCGGGTTCGATGGGCATCGAACCACAAACGACCACAAAAGATGCGATCTCTTACCACTCGATCACATGTCACTTCGTGCTCGATTTAAAGCTTCTTTAATAGCGAAAGTCACGAACAAACATCATTTGTGATTCACCCCAATGAAACTGGACCATTTTAAGTATCCTTACTGTTTTTGTCTCAATTTATTCTTCCCTAAATGTCATTTTGACTGCTTTGATTTTATTGCTTGATGATTTAAGCAAGATTATACAACACTCTTATCTTTGATCTTAAATTAGAATGCAATAAAAATTCTCAAGTAAGAAAATGTTTCGAGAAAGATAGTAGCTATAAAGCATGGAATTTCATTACTTGGCAGACTTTACAGATTCTTTTATTCTTTTGAAATATCAACTTAAACTTAATTTTGTACCTCCTTGAAAATTTTGTCAGATTTTTAAATAAATTTTAAGGTATTCAGCTTAAAAACCAAACTATTGTCTATCAAATATTTTATTCTTATTGATGGAAACCTTTAATAATCGCATGACCAAAAATAGCAAACTTCTCAATTAAAAAATTTACAATACACAATTAATAACAGCTAATTACACCCTTCGATTATATCCCAAAAGTATTAAGAACTTCATAAAAAAGGTTCAAAAACCACAAACGTAACACCTTTGGGAAGCCATATATGATCATTAGAACTTAAATGTTGCTCAATAAAAAAAAAAAATATTCTATTCTAACACCTGAGCTTTAGATTCTTTAAAGAACAGAATTGAAAAATTATTTCCTCTCATAAACAGAGAAAATTTTTAGGGAACGTCTTTTATCTCGAAAGAAATGTTCGCGTGTATCAATTCATCTTCATGTCTCAGCTATTTTTGAATATTCACAGTGACTAATTTTGCGATGACATCATCGAAATCAAGATAAATCTCATGTGAAGCGAGACTTAAGGTGCACACACGCAGCAAATGAGAGAAGTTAATCTGAATGATCAAGAAAAGAGACTCAAATGATTGCCATTAAAATTGACAAAATGATTTTTCATCTCTTTCAGCCTCTTACTCGCTTGCTCGAGTCTTAATAATAAATTTTTATTTGATAGAACTAGAATGAATTTCAATGAGATTCTTAAAAGATTCCCAATTTATTGCCCACATTTAAAATCAAATAAAAAACTATAAAATGTCCAAAACTGCTCCAAAATATCAATCAAGACATCTGTTATTACTTCCCATTCAAATGTTTTTTTCCTTCCTTTTGCTTTCGAAAAACGCGATGACGATGATGATGATAGAGACGAAGACATCTACTTGTTAAGGTGTTTCTGTTGATATTCTTAAAAAATTGATTTTATTTTTGACATTTTCATTTTGATACAATTTTGTTGCTTTTATTATTATTGGCATTATTTTATAATCAGATTTTAGAATTTGTGTCATAAATATCGCAGATCATAAAACTTGATACAGTTCTCGACGTAAAATATCAAGAAGAACGATCAGTTATTAAATATCTGAAACATATTAATTTGAGATAGCTTTTGGTGGATTTTTAATCTATTTGAAATCAGGAGGTAGAACAGCTCCTTCTATTGTTCAATGAAATGACTCTTAAGACCAAAATTGCAGGCAATTGGCAATGAATAAAGTTCGATTCCTCCAAATATCAATATAAATTTTTATCAGAAGCTGATTACCCCACTTCCCTAGTCGAAGTCAAATTTGCTTTATACCAATCTACGGAAAGTCGGGTCTATAGCTTTAGGGGAAGTAAGTAACGGGTAGCCATTGAAACCAGGCCCCAATACTGTATTTAAAAACGAAACGTCCAAAATCTGATGAGACATTTATCGCAGATATTCTAAATCTGTTTAACAAGTGACATTTTAAGATTAATGATCATAAAATTGTGTGCTTCATATAAGCTCGATTGTAGGCATCACCAATATTAATAACTTACACACGTTATCTGCAAAGCAGCTCATCTTCTCGTCTCCAACAATTCATGATTTTTGAATGACGAATCTGTATCAATTAAGTAGCGCGTAAATATCTTGCTGTGCGATTTAAGGCTATTCGTCTTACACACCTAAAAATCGTCTTTTTTTGTTTTTGAATAAATTTTTATGACTTATTTAACTAAAGCAAAAAAGTGACAAGAATTGCGGAAAAGATCAGAAATTGCGAATTTTTACGAAAAAAAAATATTTTTGTAGACAAGTCAAATAAATTTCAATCAATGTCGGCAAAATTGCTCGTGTTGGACATAAATGATTCTCACGGAGATGAAATTGAAAGTTCTGTAAGAATTTTGATCTACAAAATCTTTGATTTGTGATCTTTATGGATATTTTACGTGCTTAAGACCACACCTATATTAGAAGTCATATATCTTCTTCAAATTCTTTTCAGATATGAATATTTTTATTAATTTTAATTAAGTCTCATTCATCATCATTGTTTCCATTCTTCTAATTTTTATTTTTATGTATGTAAGCGGATCAGAATAAAAATTAATGAGCTGCTGAAAAATTAATTTTCATAATTTTTTGATTATTAATTCTAATGACTCATGGACCATAGCTGATATGAAATATGGTCAATAAATTAGATATCGGCCCTAAAATTCAGATTTTGCGAGCAAAATAAATTTTTTCATGGGAATTTTATGGAAAATAATTTCAAACGAGACATTTTGGTAGCGGCATAGAATTAAAGCCTTGTTATGTTTGACAAAATACATCATTCGTACGCTTGTAGGCTCGATGGGGAATCAATAATATTCAACAATTCTAATTTTGACTTTTTCACATATTCTAGATGCGAAATAAATAAAAATCTAAACGTTTATTGCATGTCCAGTCCGTAAAGAGATGATATCAATTCCATATCAATTTACTTATGACAGCTGTGTTGTTGTTGAATTCAACAGAGACCAGCAAAACTTCAAAGTTTTTGTGCGTGATTTATTTTTTCGAAGTTAAAGATGAGTAAGGAAGCGATTGGGTCTTAATTAAATGATTTATGTCTGGGATCTTTTATAATTAGATTCGGTAGACCAAGACAAGTTAAGATTGCGTATTGTGTTTGATATAAATTGGTATGAGATTAATTTTGGAGGATCAATGATGGTAATAAATTTATTAGGATAAACCAGAGGCATGTCAGGGGAATCTTCCCATTAAAAAAGCTGAAGATTGACCTTTCTTCAATCTGCTTTTTGTTTTCAGAAAAAAGTTCCAGAGCCACAATTTCTTCCTCTCTTACTATTCTTGACCACTCTAAATGAGCCCATCTTCAGTTCTTTACCACAATATAAAAGATAGGACATAAGTCTGAAAATCCAAATAGCCAAAAACATCACATGCAGACGCTGACAAAATCTTTCAGAATTTTCTGATACGCAGTTATTCTAAAGCAACAAGGACAACTCACACAAAATTGGTAAACAGGAAATTTATGTTAACTGTGAAACAGTTTTTGAGCAGATTGGAAGCATTGACCCCCTTTGAGTGAATGACCTGATTGCTTCCTACCAAATAGCAAAAAAGGTTTTTCAACATTAATATCATAAGCTTCAAAAAGGCACAAAAATTAATTTGTAACTCAAATTAGGTCCCATGTGTGATTTAAAAAAGATTTATCACCCTTTATTCTTTTTACAGCTCACATACTATAAACATCAAACCGTCAAAAAGCTCTTTTAACAATCAATAAAAAATTTCCTTCATTTATTTTTCAAATATACGCATTTTATTTGACATTTCATTCCAATTCTTGATTTATTAGAACTTTTTCATCAAAATTGAAAGTCATCGTAAATTTTCTATGATTTAATGGCTCTTATAGGACTTTGTAAATGCTAAATGGGATAATAAATCTCAAATAAAAATGAGAAATTTTACGGCATTGTAAATTTCAATCACAAAAAAAATCAACACGTGATATTTTCAAGGTCTATAAGGTGAAAGAATCTCATTTTTAAATAAATTTGATATTTTCTCGTCCACAAGAGACACCAATTGAACATTATTCTTCACTTTATTGCCCATCATCCTACGTCTTATGTAGTTTTATTCTGGGGAGTCAATATGATACGCAAAAATTAATTTTACGGCATTTTACAATCAAAATCATCTAGAAGTGATTTTTTGAAAATAAAAAAAAAATTCTGAATGAGTCAATTTATTAATAAAATTTCCATATTTATTATAAATTAGGAATAATAGGCAATTTTATAATTAATTAAGAAGCTCTTTTCAGAAGTCGACTGTCGTGTGAGTAAAATAATTTAGTCATTGCCTTAATTTGCTGGCAATCTTCTTTTTGTTATCCAAATCAGATGATATGACGTAAGTTTTGCGCGGAAATAATTATGTAGGATTTATACACCATAAAAACTAGATTTTATACTAAATAGTCTAATCAATTACATATTTGTGTGCATGTAGATAAATTCTATTCCTTCCTTAATCATCCATAAAAATAACTCTGCCTATTAATTACTTACTTTAACGCTACAAAATGTTGGTCCACTAATTGAAAATGTCGATAATTCTAATGATTAAAAGCAAAATAGTTTTTGTTGTTTGTTAAGAAGGTCAGTGAGACTTAATGTATCACAATAAAAAATTACAGTAATTATGTTGTGTTTAAGCTTTAAGTGATGACAGCCTTTTGTTGCTTCTTATTCTAAACTTTGTATTAAAATGTTTTTTTTAGATTGTCGACTATTCGACCTTACTAGATATGTTCACTAGAGTCGCATCAATAAGAATATTAACTTGATAAAAAATTAAATAAATAATTCATCATGTGGAACTGGTTGCATGTGAATGATTAATTTAATGAACGAAGTGGGACAATATCATATGCAACTGAATGATTTGAATCTTGCTGCTGTTGTAGGACTTTTCTATTAAAATATTAAGCAGAAGGCTGACTTCTAAGTCAGTAAAATGTCCAACATCTAGCGAAGAAATTTCATCTTGTGATAGACGTAATAAACTAATGACCCCAATCATGAAATAAACTTTAATCTTTATCACATCTAAAAATATAAGACACTAATACACCCCAAAGTCATGACTCACATCCAAACAAGATTTGCAACAAAAATAGCAAACTTTTAATTGACAAAGACATTCATCATGAAAAACTAGATTGCCACATAAGCCAGGGATTAAATGTTGTATTAGATCAAGCAAAGAATATTGAAGTTATGGCATCAGATTGTAGACTAATCACAAACACCTGTCGGTAAGTCAATAAAAAGAAGAAAATTGCAAGCTTGTGTATGGCATCATCTTCATTATTAAAGTAAGTCAGTTTTTTTTTCCTTCATATATCTACTTGACTAGTCTACGTGCAGATTCTTCAGTGTGCAAACATTGTAGCTCAATATTAAGAATGAATACACTCACGTGAGTAAATAGAGCAGCCGCTAAAAGACAAAAGTCAAATAAACTTTAATTGATTATTTTTTTTTTCGAGACCTTCATCGACTTAATTTCTTAGTATTATATTTTATATGAATAGAATATAACGGAATGAATATGCATGGCACTTCTTTGTTTCTAATCTTTTTCATGCTGTTTACTTATCAGACGATCTTGCTCACCTATCAGTATATCCAAAAGTGACTAAAATCACAGATATAAAAGATGTCTGTTATCGAATATTCATTCAGTCATTAGAGTCGCTTGCAATATCAATTTGTTAGTTTCTTATCGATTATTAAACACATTAAGTATGGTAAGTTTTGAGCATCAGAAAAAAAAAACAAATAAAATCAAATCGTAAAATTTATTTTATTGCTGTTGCCAAAAAAATCTAGTGACATTAAAATTATTTCCCACAGAAATTAATCATTATTGTGCTTGCATTAATTGGAACTATCTCATGTGAAAGTGGATGGGTGAAAGGACCAGATGGATATCAATATCGTCAACCAAATCAGCCACTGACGTATCCAATTCTCGATGAAAGTTTACCGCCAATTAATCTTTTAGCATTAAATGAAAATGGTCCAGAACCTTTAGAAGCCAATGAGTTTGCACCATATTTCTCAAAAACATTACTTGAGGATATTGAAGCTACGACTTTTGAGTATGAGCTTGTTCAAAAGAAGTGATATGCAGTGATGATTTAATTTACAAAATGTGATCTTTTAGGTTAAGTTTATTGATTCAAAATGAATAAAATTTGGCATTTTTTATATATTTGAAATCAAATTATTTGCATGAAGGAGAGTCAGGGAGATTATATCATTATGTCACATAAGATATGAGGATTAATGAGAGTTCTACTTCTATTTGGAATCGAACCAACACTCAGAATGATCTTAAACAAATTTGTTCACCGATCTCTTACTGTATCACTGACAAACTAGCTTCAATATCACCAGAAAACTTAGATTCCATCCAAATCACATGCCACAAAATATCTCACTGCTCCCAAAAAATCCACTAGATAAGAAATTAAGGAAGCAAACACGGAAAGAAGAAAATCATCGACCTCAAAATAAACTTTCTCTCGCATCTCATAAAATGGTAAAAAATTTCTCTCATTTGTCCTTATTCAAGGCCATTAAGCATAACAACATTACATAGACAAGAAAGAGACGGCAGGAAAACATTGCAATGCAGCTGGAAAGCATGGCACTTCCAGTGAAACATGTGATTTTGGAACGAACATAAATCGATATAAGGAAAACTTTTCCATTTCTCTCTGTATTCATTTTCTTCCTTCAGCCAGAAATTTTCCAGACTTTCAGTCGATTTTCATTATCAGATTAACATTGAATCTGACCGGTCGCATAAAAGTTTTCAGTCTCGAGTCGTTTATTTTTCTTTAAAAATGTTGTGTAAGGTGAAATTTGTCATTTTTATTTACAAAAAGTAAATTTTTTTATGCTTTTTAATCGGAATTCCAAATAAGGTTTTTGTGATAAATAAATAGGAAGTCTATAAAATGTTTGAAGAATAAGAAGAAATACTTAGTGAATTTTTATGTCTTTGAGGATGTGCGAAAAGTTAGAAGAACATACAAAATAAGTGAAAAAAAATATATAAAATCCATTAAAATGTTTGATCTTGAATGTTAAATGTAAATATATGGCCAGAATCTTTTTGTCTATCTCGTGTCGCTTCTATTCCTAAAAAAAATATATATAAAAAAATAAGAAAAAAAAATCATAAAAAGTTTTTTTAATTGAAGCAGTTTTGTTGAGTTTTTTGTGTATGTGTTTATGTGCTCATGTTTATGTTGATGTGCTATGCTGAAAAGTAAATTTCCCAGCATCTTCTGCCTCACAGCTTTATCATAAAAAAGTTTTTTTGGTGAGTCAGCAACTCTGGTTATTTATTTATGTCTTCTATTTAATTACATACGTCTAGGTACGTAACTTTAGTGTCAGTTTTATTTTGACTATAGGAATTTTAAAATAGTTTTTTAAAAATTGTTTTGCATTTTTTTTTTAATTTTTTGAAGTAGGGTTTGAGGGTCTGGAGTTATTTGACAGTCTTTTAAAAAATTATGAACAATTTATGAGAAAAAATCTGAAATTTTTTGAATACATTTTATTTTTATATAGTCGAAGATAACAAAACATTCGTTAGTAACAATATATTCGAATATAAAGTTGTGATTAATTTTAGATTTTAACAATAAGAAAAAAAAATTCATTTGTGGTGTGACAAAAAAAATTAATTTCCATTCTATTCATAGCATTTCATAGCTTGATCTTAAAAATTTTGTGAGAAAAAAACTGAGCAACTTAGCTTAACATGATGTTTGTAAGCTAGTTATTTAAAAATAGATTTTGGGACAGTTTTTGATTATTTTTATTTCTGGTTATTTGGATTGTGTCTTTGATATCATCAGTAAACTTCCTTCTGATTTTGTCTAATTTGAATCAGGAGAAACAGATTGCAGATATCTAAGGACAATCAGCATGTTGTCAGTAATCCACAGAAATGTACAATACAGAATCTATGCAAGCAGCTCATTAAATTTTGAACTGTTTCATTTTCTGTTTCTATGACATATTTCTCCAAAAACAAACCTACTCAAAGAAGACATAAACAGCTCAAAGATACTTTAACATTACATCCGTTTCTATCTCAACAATTTCCCACTCTGAAAAAAAATCCTCGGGTTAGAAAATCCTGAACATGTGTTTTTCATTATAAATTTAAAATATACACAACCGAAAATTCCTGCCTCGTTGTCATCATCATCATCAACAACATCGCTGTGAAAACTAAAAAGTTCAAATGACAAAGTTGCTGTAAAAGTATTTTTGTTTATGAAGATAGAAAATTCTTGATGATGGGAAATTTTGTGCGAATGTTATGCAAAATAGATTTAACTTCCACCTTCTTTTCCTTAACGTAATTCTGTTCATAAAGGTGTGTTTGTCTAGATTCTAGTTCCATTTATGCTGGCACAACAAAGAAGACAAATTCAGATAAAGACGAAGAATGGAAAAAGGTTTTCACTTTGCAATTACTTGCGTGAAAAAGCACATAAAAGGAATTCCAACACAATTTTTGCTTCCTTTTTAGTCAAACAACAAAAAAAATTTTACTTCTGTTCAAACAACACTAAATTCCAGCTGCGCTAATCAAGGATTAACAATTTCATTGTCATTATTCATTACGTGACGCATGAAATTTGCGCTTCGTACGAGTTTTATTTGATTTTTTTCCCGTTCAATTTTTATGAGAATTAAAGTAAATGTTTGATTTTAATTTCTTTGTATAACAATTGTTCGTTGAAATTCAAGTTTATTTGCTATGGCTGTCATTTTAAGTATGTGTTGCTATGAGAGAGAACTTGTGTAGGAAGACTTAGAAAATTTGTAACGTGTACTTGACATTTTAGTATGTAATATTTTGATACACGTGTGACCTATAAGTATGAAAATAATTTTATAGATTTGATTATGTAACATTAAGTATGGAATAATAAAATTGAGCTTTAGTTTTGATTATTAATAATTTCTTGGAAAACTATAATTGATATGATTAAGTAATGTGATGTAGTTTAATTATTTCTGAAAAAATATTGGCAATGATGGAATTGAAAGGCTTAGAGGTGTGCCACTCGTAGTTAAATCTCTGATTTATATAGTCTGAAAGCGCATTTAAAATGGATTTAAGGTTTGGAGGCAATTTTTTTTTAAGAAGAGACCATCCTCGGTAGAAATGGGGTGTGATTGAGCTAGTAATGTAAAAAATAGCTTTCAACTTCCGAAAACATCAAACAGTTTAATCTTATCCCAAAAAACACAAGTCGGTTAATCGAATAGAAATCCGGTGCAAAGTTGGCATGACTCTGGCATAGTTTTGACACTTGAATTTCTGATCGAATAACCGACTTGTGCCATTCGGAAATGGGTTCCAATTATAGTTTTACTTCCAAAATGCACTTCATTTAATAAGACTCTTTCTTAACAATACTGTGCCTCAAATACACCAGCTGCCTCCCTCCATCCACACACACGCACATTACTAAATACAGTCAATAATCCCCCATAAAAAACCTTACTTATTCTTGCTAAAAGTAAAATCCATTTAATGATTCCTAACATAATACCAGAGGGCGAAGCCGAGCTTAGTCGACTATAGTCGACTAAAATCGACTTAGCCGGTTTTAGTCGACTAAAGAATTAACGGTTTTTTCCTTAGTCGGCTATAGTCGACTAAAACCGGCTAAAGTCGACTAAAGCCGCGACTAAGATCGACTAAAGAAGGATTTTTTGGCTTGTGAAGTATAAAAATTTCATACAAAAATTCTCTTATTTTCGTCATTCAGGTTCGAATCTCAAAATATTTTTTGACTTTTTTAAACATTCAATTTGTATTATTAAAATTGTTTAAATCAAATATTATTAAATTAAAAAGATTAAAGTTGTAAAAGTATATTTTAAGTACTCATTCAAAATATTAGTTTTATTCATTTATGGAGTATTATAAGAAAAATAAAAAATAAAAATGTCATAAAAAGTGTCCTTTTAAAATACGAATGAAATAACATTCTATATTAAGGACTTAAGATATAGCCAGGATAACAAAAACATATTATTAAGTCATTATTAGTAGATTAATCTCATAATCTAAGTATGAATTAATCATTCTTGTTCAAGGATTCTAATAGGTACTCTATATTATGGTGCAGAAATAATATTCTATGAGCTCGTTCAGGATTTAAGGATGCTCTTTTTTGAGTCATTAATGAGTTTGATATTGAGAAATTACGTTCCGCCTCAGTACTCATAGGTTGAATAGCAAATAAAACTCTTGCTAAACGATACAACAAAGGCAAATCATCCATCCTTGTTAAACTATGAATACGTTTTAGAACGTTTGAATGATCATAAGCCGTTAAAAATTTGATTAGATTTCTCGTAAATATTCAAAAAAAAAATGTTTGGTTAAATTATGATGCAATTTAATGCTTTAATGTAACTTAAGTCATTTTGAATCGTCAATTGTATTTTTAAAAACAGTTAAAACTTCTACAGTTCTGCATTAAGAGTGTTTTGGGTGCATAATGTGATGTTTTAAAATTTTGCAATTCAAAAAAAAAAAAAATTCAAATTTGTACCATTAAAAATAAATTTTGGTAATTAAACTACCTATGGCTATGTTGCAATGAGTTTTGTCAAATAAGATATCAAAATAGATATGAACACGGTTAAACACAAAAAAATGTTTCAATGTCATGCTTAGATAAATTTCGAAAAAATTAAGCGTCTTTAGCAGTAATTTAATTAAGATTTTTTAGGTATCTACGATGTAAAGCACAATATTTTTAACATGCTGAGAAATTTAAAAAAGTCAAAAAATATTTTGAGATTCGAACCTGAATGACAAAAATAAGAGAATTTTTGTATGAAATTTTTATACTTCACAAGCCAAAAAATCCTTCTTTAGTCGATCTTAGTCGCGGCTTTAGTCGACTTTAGCCGGTTTTAGTCGACTATAGCCGACTAAGGAAAAAACCGTTAATTCTTTAGTCGACTAAAGCCGACTAAGTTTTAGTCGGTTTTAGTCGACTATAGTCGACTAAACTTCACTCGGCTTCGCCCTCTGCATAATACTAATGAGAGATTTCAGTCAGAGCAGTGAACCGAGCATGATTATTTATTGCCAATAATTTTGCTAAAAGGCAATACAAACTAATAAATCACAGACTTTGCTAATGAGCAGTCAATATTATTTTTGTTTTGCTTGAAGGCAACAAATTTGAGCTCATGAAGCTCTTTTTTGGAGATTTAAATTTTTTTGAGATTTTCAATTTAATCTCAAGATTTTAAATGT